ACCTTAGATCTCTGGTTGGCTTTTAAGAGATGGTATTCAAGTGTCTTTGTCTGATCCTTTCTATGGGTTTTCTATAGTCCACGCCTAAGTGACATCATTTGGTATTTTGCTTATCATGCCTGTGCCATCATGCTGCAGCCAATGACATGAGTTTCTCATGTCTGATAAGCACTATGTTCCAGGGTGTATGTACCACATCCTCCTCTTAATCCACTGAACCTTTTCTTCCCCTGGATGCTTTTGGAGTTCTGAAAGAACTGATTTATGAAAGTGAACCCTTTGAGTGTGTATTTCTTTGTTTCTCTTCATTTTATACTTTCTGTGAGTAAATGTGAAGAAGCATTATTACAAAATATTTGACACTCAAGTTTATTAAGAAGAAACTGTTTCCTGTGGTTCTTTCCCTTTGCATTAGTGCTTCTCTGCATTCAGCTTCCTACCTGTGTTTTTCACTCTAGTTCACAGCTACTTTTATATTTTCTAAAATAACAGTTCTTGGATCAATTCCTTGAACCCAGCTGCTTCTGTTTTCTGATTTATTCATTTAAGCTTTCATTTGTATTCTTTGGCATTACTTTTTAAACTTTCCCATTACTTAGAAAAATTAACTCAAAAGTGCAGTTCAGTACTTAACATTTTCATTAACTAATTTTACAGTTGCTGACATTTTTTCCTGAATATAAAATTTTATAAAAAGGGAACCCCTGCCCCAGTACTATCACCAGAGATAATCAATGGACCTTTTAATGTGTATTTTTCCAGATGCTTTTCTGACTATTTTTGTCTCCTGGGGTGCATCTGTGTGTACATACCAGCACTACTTCGACATAAGCACGTACATGTTACATTCCTACTTGCATTGTACATAGGTTTATGCATATATGTACATATTCACATCTCCATGAATATGTGCATCTTTATACACACATTTTCTGCTATAGTTCCCTGTACAGACACATGGTCCCTGCCCCCACCCCCAAATTCTGATTGGATGTCAAGATTGACACATACACCAAGAGCGTATGAAAGATTGCATTTCTGTAGTTCAGCTGAGAGCACAACAGGACAGGTCTCAAGCAGATCCAAAGTGGCCTCAAAGAGCAAAGAATGACTGGGTTGTTTTTACCATGGTTGGGTGAGGGTTTTGCACTATGACAAGGGGTTTGTGTGAACCCCTGAACCTCCTGCTATTGCCAAACAAAGAAGCTACCAAGGCTTTATCAGCTTGTCCAGAAGCTGGAGCACAGGAGGGGGAGCTAAGCTCAGAGGCTGCAGCAGCCCTCACATGGAGACTCCCTTCTGCACGAGCAGAGCACCTACACCTATTACTCAGCTGCCCACATTCACCTGTTGTGTCTCCACACTGCAGCTGCCTTTACTTGGTACTCATCAGTGGGTGCAGGTCAACCTTATTCCTTTCAGCCCGTATTTGCCTTGTATGGATGTGCTGTGTCAGACAGCCTTCTTCCTGTTGGCGAGCATGGCTTTCCTGCTTTTGCGAGCAAGGAGACATGGACACGCACAGTATACTTTTGGGTACTGGACAGTATCAGCAGTTCACATCACCATTACTGTACCAGTACCAGGGACGTTTTACTGAAGTCACATGATAAATGCTCTGAAAACATTAAGGAGACAGTTAAGGGGTGGCGAGGGAGGGCCCCTAAAATAGGGCAGAGATGTGGGAGTGACACTAGAGTATATGAAGGAATAGCAAAACTTTGGGGTAATTTTTAGGTCAATGGGTAAACAGATTTAACTATGATGGACCTTGTGAAGTTGTCTCTAGTTAAAAAAAAATTTCATAGACCCACTGATGCAGTGTTATTACTAGCCCAATATTAAACAAGCAACCTCGTTTTTGTTCCATCACCAAAAGGGATAGTAACTTTTTTTTCTTTTGGGTTTGACTTACCAATTTTTAAAAATATTTACTTTTACATCATTCTGTGCCTTTTCCCATCTCAGTTGTAATCCCCGTGGGCTTCCCATCACCCGTGTGCAATCACCATAGTCCAGTGCATTTCCCTCCCTGCACTGTTTCTGATCCCATTCCGCACTCCAGCTCCATAAAATGTCTATGGTATATAGCTCATTATTATTTTCTCACTTGGTCCGTTACACTCCTGCTGAGTGAAACCAAGAGATAGTAACTTTTTAAAGGCCTTTGGTGTGGCAGAGTGTAGACAGTCTTAGTTTGTGCACTGCTTATGGTATGGTTCAGCATCTCATTCGCTTGTATTTCTCTTGTGAATTGCTTAATTATGTGACTTACAATTACTCTACAAGCCATTGGTCATTTATTATTATGCTGTAGATGTTTGGTTTTTGTGGTCTGCCTTTTTACTTTATTGTCAAAATTGGGCTTATCAAATTTTCAGTTTCTATGTGCTCTATTTATCAGTTATCTTCACATAAGAAATTAGTGTCAAGCTTAATGGCTTTAATCTCATTGAAAACACAAATTTTCCATGTTTGGTGAAACGTTAAATTCTGATTATTCACTATTTATCCATAAGGCCTGAGGTAACGATTTAGCTTTAAAAAGCAACAAATCAACGTCTCACTGGTTGTTACCCGGTCATTAAACATCCATTTGTGTGCCTCCTTTCAAATGATTTGCCAGCCCCTAACAAATAAATCTCCACACAGCTCCTTTGTGGCTCTCGCTAACCTCCACCCCAGCTGGCACCAGTATGTATGCTGACTTCACCCTGTGAAGGCCCTCCCTTCTGCCCCAGACCCACGTTTCCTGAAGTTTCCTAATTTTTCTTACATTAACTTTAAAATCACTCTTACTCCCTAAATTGATTTTAAAAAATCCTGCTGGGATTTTGAGAATGCTAGAAAAAGTTAGTATTACAAGAACATAGTCCTTCACTTCTCATGTCCTCAGTAGTTCCGTATATTTTCCTTACTCCTAAGATTTTTTGTTTGCTGTACCCCCCAATTAAATGTATTTTCATTCTATCCAGTGTATTTTTAAGACTTGTTGGAACCTATGCATTGTAGAAATACTTGATTTTGTTACCCGCAGTTTCACCGGATACCATTTTAGTCACAAGTCCCATTCTGAGTCCATCTTTTGAGGTCAAAACCTTGGTGCACTCAACGTGTCGGGTGGCGTGCCCTCGGTGTCAAAGAGAGCTTGTTGGGCGTGTCCTATGCCCTATGACTGTGGTCCTCTCAATAGTTGTGTGTGTGTGTGTGTGTGGGGGGTACTTATGTCTCAACTGTTTCCCCTTCCTCTGGTATATGTTGTATATATCGCAGCTGCCTTTATAGATCAACCTCACTTTCCAGTGCATATATTTCTGCTGTCAGGACTGAATGGGCTGTAGTTCACAGCCATCACACCGATGTTTCTATTTTCCTGCTTTCACAGATGAACACAGGTACGGGAGCAAGTGTCGGTAGTTCAATAGTCATGTAACTTCAGAGGTACATCAAGGTGCCAAGAGTGTGTGGCCTTCCTTTCAGATTTTACTGAATATATTTTGAGGCTCCTCCTCCTGGCATGTAAACTTTCAGAATTGTCTTGCTGATAGATAACATATTATGTAATGTGCCAGGCAGGGCTGATTTCTATGGTTCTTTTTCATAGTGAATCTGGGGTGGTGCCCCTTCCCATGATTACAAAAATCAGGTACTACTCAAGGTTCTTTTTTGCAAACAGCAGAAATTGACTTTGCAGAAGGAACTTGCTGGACGACTACCTAACAACACTTCTTGGGTTGTCAGAGTTCTGCTCCACAGCAGACCATGTCCCAGGGGCGGCAGGGAGGGGCTGCTCTGTGAAACTAGCACAGGGACGTGACCTACACCGAGCCATCAGGGTGCCACACCACCCAGGACTAAAGTTATGTGGCAAAGGATGTAAGGGATGGTTTAGGACACATGCCGATAGCCAGAATTCTGGTGGCCGTGACAAAAGTGGCCCATCAGTACCCGCCGGGCAGGGTGCATCACCACGGGGTTTGCCTACCAGGGCTCTTCTGGCTTCCACTTTCTGAACTTGGTTTCCCAGGCTTCTGCGTATGATGACACACTCCTGTTTCGGGAGAAATGTAACTAATTCTGACCTTTGTAGATAAAACCAGGGAAAAGTACCCATTACTTGTTAGATAACTTCAGAATAGCAAAGCTAGAGCCAGGACTAGTGTAATTAGTTCTGGTCTGAATGGCTCTTGGGCTCCATGGGCCTCAGTGGTGGGAACGGCTGTAGACTGTGTCGGGGCACCGTCAGTGCCATTGGAAAGGTTGTCTCAGCCTTTACACCAACTCCTGGTGCGGAGGTTGGACCCACCAGAGTTCATGGGTCTTTGCAAAGCGCAATATTGTGTGACTCTAGTCTTGGCTGTTACAGTCTCACCTTTGTTAACCATCCCTGGAGGTTGCTGATGGCCACCAAGTGCTTGACACAGAGCAAATGTGGGTTACTGTCCTGGGGAGGCTGATGTGTGGGATGGCATGTCAACTATCTTGTTTCAGGGGGGGGAAGACCCAGGCCAAAGTAGATCTGGAGGGAACTCCCCACTTACAAAGGTGGAAATTCTTATTGTGGAAAAACAAGTCTGGCAGTTTTGATTGTCACACACTAAGCATTATGAACAGAGACACGACACATCTTTCACTCAGATTACATCTCCTTCAAAAAATTGTTTTCCTGGCTCATCCCATGAGAGCTGGAGGGAAATGAACATTTGTCAGAGGGAAGACTTCAGGCAATGTGTGGGGGAGGGGTGGGAAATAGGTAGACGTCACCTCAGAGTCTGGTTTGTTCTGGAGAGGTCTTTGCTGGCCAGTCCCTCATAGAGGGACTGAAAATGCTGCAACAGCTTGGCCCAAGCAAACAAAGGTGTTGGGAACACACAACTTACAGAATGACTGCAAAACCCTTCACTCGGTATTGTTCACGAGAAATCCCTATTTCCCCTGTGATGTGAAGGCCAGTGTAGAAGTGACGGGCACAGTGAATCAGCCACCCCTGTGCCCTGCAGGTTCTGATGAGCGCATCCTTCCTGGGGGCCCTGTGTCTCTTTGCATCAGTCTGTGTTGTCTGCGCCATTTCTGCATTTACTCTCCCCATCGAGACCAAAGGACGGGCCCTGCAGGTAGGTATTGTCAGAATTGCCTTCAAACACGGCACCCACGCGTATGAAACCCAAACGTGAGTGGACATCCAGTTTTCCTGCCTGCAACTTTAGAGTAGTACTGGGGTTAAGTAACCAGTCACTCCAAACCTCTGCTCCCTCTGGGTATAGGCTGAGGCGGCGAATGAGTGTGGAGGAGGCCCCTATCTAGACTCACGGGTGCAGAGCTGGAGGTAATGAGATTATAAAAAGGGGTACTGCGGGAGAGGCCCTTTCTCTTTGGAGGCTCCCAGGTAGGTAATAAGCTTCTAATGTTTCCTGCCTTAGAAGCATGCTCCCAGCTGGAGTGAGTGGGCGGGTGCAGGCCGGGAAGGGAGCACAGATGCTGCCTGCGAGGAGGCAGGGTCGCTTCTAAGGCGGAATTCGCACAGGTGTGTTTCTGTGAGCAGATATAAGGAAAGCACTGCCAGGTGAATGGAAAACACAAAATGCTTACACCAGTCTCAATTTTTGCCGCTGTAGCTTGTTTATCATTGAGGTAATATACAATGTAATCACAGATTAAATTTAGGGCTTTGTTTCCAAGTTCCTTACTTGGAAAGGTGACCTACTTATTGAATGCTCAAAGCCAGCATCCAAGTGACTCATATATGATTATACCCTTCACACAAATGAAGAAATCAAGGCAAAGGTTATAAGTCTAGTAACTTATAAAAAGAACACACCAGAGTCTGGCATTTAAACTAGCTTGCGACACTGAACAGAAGGAAGCCTGGGTCACCCTCGGATGTGCTGTAGGGGCTTCTAGCTCGTCACCCCGACTTCATTCCCTCTTCTGGTGGAATTCCTGCTTACAGGCTTTTCAGTATCACCTGCAGCATGCAGAGTAATGCAGCCCAAGGCATGTGATTCCGCAACCCTTCGAAGGCGTGTCCCCTCGTCCCCTCGCAGTGCTGACACCTGCCCTGAGGAATGACCCAAGGGTCTCTGGAGGAATATTTAAAAGTCCTGTCTCAATTTCCTTCCAAAAAAGAATCCTGATTATTCATAGGTCAAAAGTAACTCCACTACTAAATTACTTACATGAACGAGCCAGCAAAACGAACTTTTAAAAAAATCTTGATAGGTATTTATAATAGGAATTTTTCTGAAAGCGGTATTACATGAGATCACCAGTGCATTCTCAGATATACAAAGGTAAATGCCAAACTGTGAATTTCATACATGTTTATTAAAAAAACCTTTTATTGGTCTTTAGTGCCAGTTAGCTGAATATGGAGAATTTTAACAACAAAGTTTATTACTGGAGCAGACTTGCTTTTAAATTACTGACCTATTAAATCTTTTCTTATTTTAGCAAATTAAATGAAGACCTGGAAAACCTGTATCGACCACAGAACTATGGGACATTTTTAAAAACCTGGTTTTATTTCTGTATACTACTGGTATTTTAAGAAACTGATTATGTAAGACATGAATAAGGTGGGTTAACTGTATATCGTCTTCCCTGTGAGACAGCAGGTAGTTTAAGTTCTTTACCTATTAAGATTGAAAAGGTCTGTGGGAAATGGCTTTCCTGCCTTGATCTTGAATCTGTTAGCCTTTGTGTCAGTAATAAATCTTAGATAAAACACAAGGACTTGATGGTTTCCCATGAGGTTAGTAGAAAAGTTGGATTAAAATTTCACAGAACTTAGCAGGTATCACCCTAAGCCTAATAATCAAGTTCATTTTCACTTAAATTGTGACTCTTATACTAAGTCTTCCTGGCTTCTTGTTAACTATTTTTCAGACACTGTTGTTTTCATTCTATTTTACGTGACATAAAAGTAGAGTGCACTCTTTTACCAGTTTAGGTATATTATAGATGCCTGAAATGGGGACCCCAAGGCTGTCTACTGACTCCTCCCACCCAGCTTTACAGTGGAAAAAGAATTCTCAGCCACAGTGAGTTCTCTTGCACCCTGTCTCAGTAGGGTGTCAACTCATTATGTGAAACTCAATATCCTTGCATTTTCCTTTCTATATTCCTTTAAAAACATTTTCAGCTCTCAGGTGGCATGAAAGCAGACCATGGGTTGAAACTAGGCCAGTTTTGCTGAAATAAATTTCTAGGGTCAACTGGACTCACTCCTGTCCAAGGTGGCACAGTAACTTTCATGTTCCAGTCAACACTTTGCTTGACTAATGAAATCAAGCCTCCTTAATCCTATCACCTTGAGCCCCATTTTGCAGTCTCTGGACCCTTAGTAAAAGAGATTGCCCATTTCATGAAGTGTTTAATACAGCCTAGGATGATCTGAAGCTCACTTCTAACAACCTGCAGGACAAGATTCACAGGCGAGGCATTGCTAAACCCTTTGAGTTCACTGCTCCTCTCCATGGGTAAGTCTTCCTCATTAGAGCTCTGTCCCCTTGTGTGCAGTGTGCAGCTCTATTATCCAAACCAACTTTGTCTTAAAACAGTTGTTCCCAGAGAGTAGTAATGGTAGTTCCCAATGGGTGGCAGCCATTATGGGACTCAAAGCTCCAGAAATTGCTGGGAGTAATGAGGACAAAAAACTTGGATCCTTTTAACCAATGGCACAACTAAAGCAGTTATGAAGAATCATGAGGGAATCTGCCAGGGCAAAGAGTTTTTCATGGAAGGAGTAACAGATTGCTAAAGAGCATACTGAAGCCCAAAGCTGCAAAATAGGTGAGTTACAAGAAAGCAAAACACTTGCCACCTAAAAAGTCCAAGACATCTTTGCTGTAATTGATCACAGAATATTTTGTTTAAGACGGTACTCTGAATTAATATGGGATAGATATAGAATCAGGTTAATGGATTAAAACAATTACTTCATACAAAATGACCATATCAAGTATACTGATTGGACCAGGGACTCCATCTTAAATTTGTCTATAATTTACCAAATCTTATGGAAAGAAACAAATTAAGATTGTTATGAGTTATAAGGAATGTATGAAATTAAAGGTAATGGGAATAACTGTAAAATGGACATATTTTGACTGAGCCTAACAAAGATTTGATGTGAAGGTGAAATAGGTTTTTTTTTAAATATGATGTAAGAAGAGCAAAGAAATTTTAGGTAGCTTGATGTCCTGGTGCTCTACTCTTGGGTTTGAGTAGCAAGGAAGAAATCTAGTCCTGTTAGCATCACTGAACCCAGTCAGATTACTGTGCTCTCTAAATCACTGTCACTGTGAATAGTTATTGTTTTATAAGATATAATTTAAATCTGTGACAAACTTCCCTGGAAATCAAAATTCCACGATAATCTGATTAAAAAATATGTATGTTTGAACTTGGGAGTCCTCCCAAGACACTCCATAAAGTTCTCTAAAAGATATTAGATCAGGCCAATTTAATGGGTTACTGCAATTCCATGGGACGCATTGGCAGATTTTAACAGTAAACTACAAAGGGGAGGTTCCTTGTTCCCTGCTTCATCTGTGGGGTGGAGCTGAGCATCAAGAGCTAAAAAAGACTAGAGGGAACTTGAAGTCATGCTTGCTCGTCAGTCTTGGAAACATTTGAAACACAGTGGTGAGAGACCCGTGGGGAGGTGGACAATGGCAGCCTTTATCTCGACTTGCACTTTGCTCCTTTCCTTCCTCTTCTACCCCTTTCTTTTGGCTCCCCACCAGAAGGCGCCTTAGTCTTGGGGACAAGCTTTTGGGCTTCTGTGGCCCCAGCCTGTTTGGCTAGACATTTGCCTCCAGGGGATAGAAATTTTGGGACACTATTACACTTTCTCTCTCCTTTAACAGAATTAGCATGCCATAGAAAGTTCTTTACATTAAGATGTTTTTGTCTTTTAAGCAGTGGATGGCAGAACCATTAGTCTAATGTTTGGTTCAACGTTATTGGTCATTCTAAAATACTGTATTTTGAAAAAATGGTAAAAGTTACCTGTCAACAGCTTTATAATCAAATCTTAATTACAGCTAATCTCTTGCCAGTTTCAAAGAAATTCACAGGAAAAGACCTTAGCTATGATCTGCAGCAATGGAAACATTTGCTAACAGGCCACCCCCTGCAGAAACCCCGGCCATTCTAGAACCTCACAATGAGAAGAACTTACCCAACAGGTAAGGCAGTCAAAGTCTCAAGGTGAAACCTTGGAATGGCTTTGGGGCCATGAAGAGCTCAACTGAAGATTCCGGCCACACCAGTAGGTCTTTATTTTGTCCTCATGGGTCCTAAATTTTCCTCAGACCTGCTTACGATGTTCCAAGATTTTAATTTCCAGTTTGTCTCCCAATCTTTTTGACTTGAATCAAATCAATTAAAGATTATAACCGAGCCTGCTGTCCCAGCTACATCAAAATGCAACCCCTGGCTGAAGATACTTCTTTCCTGATGGGGTGCACTTCAGTCTTTACCCTGTTTCCTTAGAAAAGAACTGTTTAAATTGGATCCTGAATTGTATTACAGATACAATCACTTAAAGGGACCAAAATATTTAAACCTTCCTACTAAAATGTTCCCATGGAGACCCAGTGGCCTCAGAAGTGCAATAAAATAGGTGTTCAGATTCTGTTAACAGGTATGTCAGATCGTATTTCCTAAGTACTGATGTTGGACACCATACAATGTTGGTTAAATATGTAACAATAATTCGAACCTATTCCTGCACTATCAAGTTGAAGCTCCTTAAACAGATTTCAATTTTTGACCACAGTATAAGAATTATCTTTGTAGTCAAGCAGATGAAAACTTTGTTTTATTACCCCCCAGCTGCCTGAGGATCACATTAGTCTTTAAAGAGAGATACAGTAGCAGGTACCCTGCCTTTACATTTCTGCACTGTACTCATTAGCAAGAAAAGTACCAAATCCTACAATGCTTTTGTATTAAGACTTTCAATCTACAGAAAGCCAGTATAACATGGTTCACAACGTTGTCAGTATAAATTGACTTGAACATAAACAATGCTAAAACAAAACGGCAAGTTGTTCAACTAGGAAAAGTATACACGTGCAGGATTGGATTTTCTACTTAAGGGATTGGTAGTCTAAGGGAACATTCTTTGATTAGGTTTTTTATGTGCTTTTTAAAGCAACTATAGAACTTTCTGTATTTGAAGTCACTTTGGTTGAAATGGGCCTTTTTGACACTTTCCAAATATTCATCAAAAGGCTTAGAATTTAAGTTTTCCAGAAAATGTCATGTTCTGGTATATAACTACTCATAATTCTAGTTGCTATCCATTATAATGGACTCTCATTAAATATTTAATCACAGGTATTTTAAAGTCTGTCAGTTGTGGTTTTACTTTTGCTTGGAAAGGAGAGCATACCTCACACAACTGAAGACTCTTCTGCTGATTGTGACACCAGAGAACTCCAAATGAGAGAAACATGCATCTAGTCAATCTCCAAATGCCAAGCTGACTCTCTTGTTCCTTACTTGTAAACGCTTCCTGTCTTCCACTTCAGTTTCCAGGATACTTGGGAATAGAAAATGTCCACAGTGTATTATTAGCCTACACTAGTAGGGCTAAAGAACCCACCACAAACTGTTACTGAAAATTTTAAAACCAAAGGGTACAGGGTGATAACTTCTGGCGAAAAGCTAGAGCCTTAACAACCAAGGAGGGAAACTCACACGTGCAGTCAGAGGCACAGATCTTCAAATCCTCCACATTCCCTCCCACATTCCAGATAAGCACCGTTATTAATCACGTTTTAATGGCCTATAGCAACAGGGTAAGGTTCTCTGTTGAAAGCAGCACAGCTTCTGCCCCATCAAATACAGCATGTGCCCAACTCTGCATATAGTGCTCACACCTGTTCCTTCTTAAGACTTCACAAGCCCCCCACACCTGGAGGTGGAAGCTGACAAGTGACCACAGGAGACAATTTAGACCAAGGTGCTGGCCCAGAAGAGGGGCTCACTGGATACCCCCCTTCCCCAATGACCTGATACTTAAGGCATTCAAGCTTCCCTGTGTGCTCTATGTTTACTGGAGGGGATCCTTGAGTGTCATTTTGCCCCAGTTACTCTCTACCTATGAGCCTTCATCAATACTGTTTCTCTGATCACATCAAATACAAAGGCAGCAGTCAGTCTATCTCTATTATACGCCCGAAACACAAAACACCATGAGACGGAAGAACGTGCCAAAAAACTCAAGTCTTAATCCAGTAGAACTGTGGAATATGGCTGAACTCTGAAGTACTTACAATTAGAAGTAATAGATCCAAAAAATATAACTGGGGCCCTCCTTGGAGGTACATCATTAAAGCACAGAGTTTGATCCCTGTCCAGGGAGCTGACCCACATGGCACAGCAGACCTCTGTTTCCCTGCTGCTCCCCTCCACAGTCTTTCAGTAAAAGCGTTCTGTTCCCCACTCTGTTTCTGGTGAATCCTCTTACCCCAATACCTCTGGCCTGTACTCCAGTTCCTATATGCATAAATAAAAAAATATAACTCAACAAAATATTACATCTGAAGGCCTCAATGGCAGAAAAATGCAAGAAATGAAGAGAATGAGATTAAAAACCTGGTGCTAGAGAACACAAAACTGAAAAAGGAAATGTGAACAAAACACCAAAATGGTAATCCGCACTGATCTCTCAAAATAAAGTAAAAGATCTCAATTCACCAGTCAAAGGTGTAGAATGTCTGTACACAAGATACCTATAGTTATGTAAGCAAATGACAAAACCAACAAAAAATCAGGAACAGCTTATACGTAGATAAGACTTTCAATTTAAAAAGGTAATAAGAGATGGACAATTAAGGGCCCAACAGAACAAGAATTAATACACAAACATGCACGTATCAAGTGCTGAAACACCAAGATATATACAATCACAGAATTGGAGAGAAAAACTTGTAACCATGGTAATATTAGAGGATTTTAGCACCCCACTTGCAACTATGGACAGACCAGGACAGAATAAATGAGGAACTAGACCTAATAGGTTTAACATATAGCTAGAAAACACTGTATACACCAAAAAACCACTTCCATACATTTTTCACGGGGAACATTTTAAATAAAGACCATTATGTTGGGACAGAAGTCAATTGTCAAATGACTTCAAATGCTGGAAGATTGAAATTATGCTAAGTACTCTCAAAGTAATGCCATAAAGCTAGAAATCGAAACTATGGCTACATAGAAATCAAACAGTATGCTGCTTAATAGTTATCAGAGGATATAAAAACAGATCAAAGGCTACCATAAGAACAACAAAAATGAGGATACAAGTTATTAGAATGTATGGGATGTAATGCAGCAAAGCAGGCTTAGCAGGGAAGATAAATCTGCAAAGAACTCACTACAATTAGAGTAATTTGAAGAAGAAACAAGATCCAAAGTTAGCAGAAATAAAGGAAATAAAAGTATAAGTAAATTAATAAGACTAAACATACACAAAGACAAGAGTGAAAGAGTTGTTTGAGAAGATGAACGAAAAGGAGAAAACAATGAGAAAAGGAGAAATTACTGAAAATACAGAAATACAAAGGATTGTAGGAGATTACTACGAGCAACTATATGCCACTAAATACAGTAACTTGACTGGATAAATTTCTAAGTCAGTAGTTGACCAAAACTAACTCAGAAAGAAATGGATGATTTGAACAAACAGATCACAAGCATGGAATTCAAACAGCAAAATAAACTATTTCCCGATGGGAAATTAGAAATAGATGTATGCAGCAAAACAGCAGGTCAAAATCAACACACGAAATCCATAGCCCTTTTATTATACACATGATACAAAGGAAACAATTTCTTCAAAAAGAATTATTGAATCACCATCTGTAGATAATATAGAAAATCCTAATGATGCCACCAAAAAGCTATTTGAAATTATATTAACATGATTTTAATTGAACATACGCTAGAGAAATCCTTAATAAACTCTCACCAGTACTAGAAGCAGAAATCAAATACATTTTAAATCTCTTACCTGTAACAGCTTCTTTGGGTTGCTTCACATTCCACCAAAAGACAAAAAGGACAACCTTGTTTTACTTAATAAGAGGAATTTGTTTTGCTTTCTGCAACAGGATGGATAGAGGTTATACTGTAACTTACCGCTTTATATATAGAAGGGAAAAATACAGTAGAGAGCTGTGCCCATCCCCATCTGAGTAAACTCTAGTAGATGTCCAAAGCTGACATTTAAAAAATAGTTGTCATTCCTGAGAAGCTACTTTCCAAACATGGTTAAGTGAAATACACAGGGAAACTGAGTAATTTGCATAAGTTCCCAGTCTTTTCCTTCTTCCTCCATCCACCAACGTGTTTCAGACAGGGAGAAATCTTCACGTCACCTTTAGTTCTTCTATTTTCAGGGGGTTACGTTGTTTAAGGGAAGGAATTAACAATTCAAAATATTAATTGTCCTCTGGCTATCTGCCAAAACAATTTTTTTGTTCATCTTTTAAGGCTTACAAAGTAAAAGGAATTTATAACCACAAAAAAGTTTTCCTACTTATGGACTAGTTGCTAGCCCTGGTTATGTGTCAATTTTATAGGAGAATACAGAATGATAATGAAGGGAGATTTGTACTGAGTGACATACTGTCCTTTTTCCATTAACAAATTCCTGTGTAAACAGATTCACAATAAAAATCCATGAAAAAAAGCATCAGTTGGCACCCCCCCACATTTACACACACGCGCAACTCACACACACACACATACCCCAAAGACTACTGATTCAGGTGCCCTTCACAACATATAAGGCCTTATGAAGAAAGAAGTCTGCTGACACAAGCTATGCAACGGCTATTGTCTGACAGATTCTGGATAGCTCGGGAAAAGCTCTGAAAACTCAGAATTGCCACTGCTAACTTATGTTATGACCTCCCTTTTTTGTATAATCACAATATCAAAAGATATTGTAACAACATCAGTTTGTAACTGGCTTGCCTTAGCTCTAAATTGGCTACCTGGCCTGGGCAAAGTACAAGCTGAGCTGCTCCTGGGGAGGAAATTCCTTTGACTGAAGACAAAAGGCAAGCTCCTGGAGAGATAAGATCCCAAAGCATCAAGACTCCTGGAAAGCTTCTTTGGTCTTTTGACAAAAAGCCATTCTTAGATAACTCTCAGAGCATAAGCATCCATGGACAATTTCCTAACATTATCAACACAGGTTTTGCTTAATGCATAACTATGTGACTTCTTAATTTACTCTTTTCCTAAAACAATCACTAACTACTCTTTGCTAGTCTTATTTAACCTCTTCCTAAGACAAACACTAGCTACTCTCTGCTAACCTTAAGTTAGCCATTAGCTTCTCTTTAGGCTATCACTGAGGACTCTGCTAACACAATTTATTCTTTCCCTAGGTCTCCTAAATCCTTTGCTAACAGCTCATCCTTTCCCAGACCCTGATCCTTTAAAGTCATAGTTAAACATCCGTATACATGAAAGCTATCACAAAGCTGTATAGTATAGTGTATAGTGTGCCATAAAGTAGCAGGAAGAGGATGCATTGTTTTCCTCTTCCTTTAAAACTTTTATGCCGATTTCTTATTCACTTACCTGATGCATTGTTGTAACTAAATCTTGCTACACAGTATAAAGACCTGCAAAAAGATGAGCAGGAAGACTTGCACCCAACTCCGACTCCCATGTCTTCCTTGCTCCCCCTTTTTTAGGAATCTCCGCTCGCCTATGCCTTCCCACCTTAGGGTCCTGCCTGTCTTGCCTCCAGACACCTCAATAGTTGGAGCTGGTCTCCAACAGTCTGCAATCTGAGTAGCATTATTCTCAGGAACATGAGCCACCAGAACGTGAATCATGACCTAGTAAATTCATAACCAAGGTGAGGGGCAATACATATTTGAAAAGACAGCAATTACTAATTACACAATGTTATAAAATACCTTTAAAATATCTATATGGTCATATAAAAGGACAGCTTCTATTTCAATCAGAAATTAGATGAATGAACTCATGATCCTGTCTATAATTCTAATGGCCAATTGGACCATGTGATTTCTCGCTTAACAAATACAGATCAAGAGAAAGAGTAGATCTTCCACTTCAACTTTTGCTTACACACAGGAAATTACTCTTTGTATTCACACAAATTTATGCATCAAGCCTTAATCAGAGGAGTTCCATCTCTCACTGTCTAGTTTGTCTCATGTCCATTCAACCCATATTTAGAAGTTTAAAGCACTGTTAACAGCACAGAAAATTTAAATGTACATTCATAAATGAGCAATCAGCTAAATACATTGGGGTGAACTTGAATTACATTATACCTATAGTACTCAGGGCAGTAAAATGTGGGGCCTGATTGTTACAGTGTGGGGAAAACAAAATAAAACCATCATGGGAATAAGACATTTTCTGTTTAGCTCTTTCACTTTTCGACCCCTCCATTCAAAAAAAAAAAAAGGAGGGGGGGTTGTTAATTCAAATGACAAAATGACTACTGCCAGAGGCTTTCGTACAAATACATTCAGCATTTAATATGGCGTTATTTCAGTACATTCACACTTCTCCCATAACCTTATAAATCACTGGATATGTACTTGGGTTTCCTTATTGAAGAAAGCTTTAGAATGAGCTGGAACTGAGTAATCCTAACTCCCACAATCAGCTCATTCATAGTCTCTGACCAAAGATGTGAGCACATTCTGCACTGAAAGTCTCACGGTACTGTGCAAAGTCTGGTGGGCTCTTGGTCCCAAATCAAGAGGAAAATCTGCTGGAGGTTTTGATCAGATGTGAACACTGGAGTGTTTGCAGGTTAGTTCAAGGTTGCTTGAACTGCACTCACCTTTTGGGAGAATGCCGAGTGAGCATGGGGCTTGGTGAAGTTCATTTCACAGCTTACTGTTAGAAATAAAGAGCTACTTAGCTGGGGCTCACCTGGGCACACAGATGATTCCTGAAAAGGTCGCAGAACTTTTATTTATATTGACCACAAAGGCTGCTTGAGAAAAACTTTTAATATAATTTCAATTATGGAGGATTAAAAAAGATGGTTCTTAATTGCCCTTCATTTAGTAAAAGATGGTAAGGGTGAAACAGAAATATTGTTTTAAGAGATTAGTATAGCACTGACTATAAAGTTCTGGGTACATTAGAAGAAACTGGTTCACATAAATTTAGAAAATCCTATTTTTAACTTTCTTAAGTGCTACTGCCCTTTGTGACCCTCAAAAATGGCTGTTTTAACTCATGACACAAGTATAGAAGAACAAAATTCTAAAATACTTATTAATACCACAATAAGCTAATTATTAGCCAAAACTCCACAGCTGCTGTGATAGAGCCAAATAACTGTTAACAAATTTGTTCAGTCTATTCTTAATGACAATATAACCCTGTAATGCAAATGTGGAAAAGTGACTGACTTTTTAACTATTAATACAGTTGAATATGAAGATCTGTCTACACAGAAAGTGGGGTGCTAGTGCAATTAAGCTGTTCTTTCACATTTACTCTCTAGCAATATCCAAAAACTCAACGAATTAGTCACAAGAGTATTTTTAAAATGGTCCATTTTAAGAAGCAATGCCATGTGGGTAAAGCCAGCCCTCTATGTTTAACTCACAGGAACTGATGCAACCTAGAGAGTAGCATCCTCTCAAGTCAGCTACATTTTAATTCTAACAGCCTAGAAAGAAAACTGTCCTTAGTCAATTACTGTTGTATAAGTAAAGGGTTTTACACTGGTAATCTAATAAAACACATGTGCAAGTTTTTGGTCTAATGTTAAGTTTGGCAAATGGCACAATTTTCTTCTACCTGAATCTAGTTCTCTTGACAGTTAAATGAGTAAGAGGGATAAATGAATGCCAGTTAAACTAGCAAGGTCTGACCAATTAATGATATGCTTGCCCTCAGGAGAATGAAAATGAAATTCTAATCTGATCAAAGGTCTGATCAAAGACTATCTGGAGTTGTGACTCCTAAAACAGGGAACTCCATGCTTCAGAAAAATTAAATCGTCACTATAGTTCCCTCCAATGCCTGATCCCAAACCTCACAACACATTTTCGCTTCAAATTATAAAGACAGAAAACTCATCCCCTTTAGGGAAACTGGTATTTAATGTTCAGTAAGGTTTATGCTGAAGAATTCTCACATAAAATATGGTATACATTGCTATATTTCATATTTTGTGTAATTCCATCAAAAGCCATACTGCAAACAATGTTTCGTTATAAAAGGACCATCTGCACTGTTAAGAAAACAACCCACACAGAGACACACAGCAAAACCAAACGTGTACACTTATTTCCTCAGTGGGAAAAAATATAGAAATGTATGAAAAACATCCTTGAAAATCTGCTACACCAAACACCTCTACAGACAAGAAAAAACCAAAACCAAAAATGAAATGTTCATTTTCCTGCTTTTTCTTTAATACAGCCGCCATCTTACATGATGCACTGTTAGGTGCCTTCTCAATAGCATCTAGTCTACCTTTTGTTGTCTCAGCCAGCATCCTGGACTAGACTCCTCTTACCACTCATGTCCATGGAGTCAGTACTGCCCTTCAGTGCAGCGCATAACTCACGGTTGGCCATACTGAATGGGGAGTAGTATTTTCTAAAAACTGATTAATGCACACATCCAAACCACATTAAAATTTCATACAAAGTCTACTTCCTTCTATAGTAGCTATCACCCAGACTGTGGTTTTTAAATCCAAGGAATGGGAGGATTAACAGTGTCATTTTATTTTGTTTTTGATGACTCTTCCATTCTTCCTCCTTCCTTTTTCTTTTTTTCTTAATTAGGTTAAAAGAAACGAATTATTAAGGAGATCAAAGTTGAGTAAACATCAAAAACTTATAGATCAGAGTGATCACAAATTCTTCTTTGTAATGTTAAATTATTGACAAAATGTTCTTTGAAATTAAAACAAAAACAAAAATCTAAAAACCAGCATATGCCGATAGTGCTGCTTACTTAAGCAACTGGCGTTCCTCTATGCTTTTGAGGCGTTTCTTCCGGGGCTGTACAAAGTCATCATCTGAGTCATCACTAAATTTATTATCTTCTGATTCATTCCTAAATTCTACTTTAGGAAACCTTTTTTCTGGATAAAGGTTCTTTAGAAGTTCTTCAAAATAACCTTCAAGTTTTATGCCAGCATTGGCTACTTCTGAATCAGGCTGTTGGATAAAAATAAAAATATGAATCAAAAAAAATAAACACCAACATTTTTGATCATCAATTTTGGTTCTGGGGGAAGTGCTTATGTCATGCACAGTCACTGATGGGGGTCACATGATGTGTGGGCCACAAAGCCCAGAGGTGAGCCAAAGTGAACTAACAGGCTGTCATGTCCTTGGGTCACAGGGGTGAGGGTGGGTTAGAATAGCAGAGACCAAAGCTGCTGAATCAGACTCATGAGGCAGGTCTTATTAGAGCAAATTAAATGAGATGTGAACTCCAGAAGCAGGAACCATACAAGACTAAGCCACCCACAAAACGCCATCAACTTGGCAGATATTTGGATAACTAACTGACAGATGAAAAAAATTTCTGAATTTAGACCACATTCTTAAAATTTCAAGATCAGTATCAGAAAGACTAAACTCTGGAAGTGCCATAATTCAAGAAATAAAGGTAGCAATGACAGAAAATGCTTCTAGGTTACATAAAAGTCTTTTCTAAATTCTTTTCAAGATATCAGCTGTAATTTCTACTTCCACTCACCATATAAACCTTGTAAATTACCTCTTTCATTTTGTGACAGACTCAGTATTTTTGAAATATATGTTAACACAGATCTCTTTCTTCATCTCACTTATTAAGGTGCTTGTTTTACTAGTAATTTCGCATCATTATTTTTTATTTTCTTCTCACCTCATTGAATTCAGCACAGTTTTGAAAGATCAATCTAAAATCAGCTACAAAATCTTCAGGCTTTGTGTACATGGAATAATCCTCTTGTAGTCTTTTCTTAATAGTTGATAAGTCCATTGGATTTTTAATTATTTTGTAATAGTCAGGCACCTTTCAAAATAAACATGTTATTAATACAAGTAACTAAATTCTACCATTAGTAATATAAAATTCAGGTTGCTCTCATTACTTAGATCTATGCTATTCTGTCGCTGACAAAGAAACCCTACTCAGAAACATTTATGAGTGACTATGCCTTCCACACATTGGTAAATGTTATATGTCAACCTTTTTCAAAGATTTTTCATCAACATTATTTTTTTAAGAAAGATTTATTTATGCATATAAGGGCTGGGGTACAGGCCAGAGGTGCAGGGGCAGTGAGATAATTCACTAGAAACAGAGTGAGGAGCAGAACAGGCAGATCGACAAAGTACACTGCTGAGGGGAGCAGTGGGTGAGACAGACGGTGTCTGCCCCGCCATGTGGGTCACCTCCAGGGAGAGGATCAAACTCATGCTAAAGTGGCTTTAGTGTCTTAGTGTTGTGCTTTAACCCACTGGGCCACCAGGGAGGGCCCTTCACCAACTGCTTTTAATGAAAAACTTTTAATTTTTCCCTCTTAAACTTTCCCTATTGTCAGGGCCTCCCTGGTGGCACAATGGGTTAAAATGTAGCATAATGAAGTTAGTCATAGCCACTGTAGCACGAGTTCAATTCCTGGCCAGGGAGCTGACCCACATGGTGCAGCAGACCTCTCCTGATCCGTCCACTGTTCCCTTAGCAGTGTGTTTCAATACATCTGCCTGTTCGGCTCCCCACTTTGTCTCAAGTGAATCCTCTCACCCCTTGACCCTCCAACCTCTGGTCTGTACCTCAGTTTGTTCCCTATTCTCCATTATAAATAATAAGCATGCTGTTGCAATGTCACAGCAGAAAGGCCTTTCAATCTGATTTGCTCTTGGGTAAGTTAATTAACTTTAATGAAACTTAGTATCTTCATAGTTTAATAACAGTAATGCTACCAACCTCTTGGTGTTATGCCACGACTAAATGAAGGACTATATATTCACAAGGAGCTATTCTGGTGTTGCTGCTGTTGTTAGTAACACCAAATGTAATTGCAAATGATAGTAAGTGTCAAGTTCTAGGTTAAATTTTTATATGGATAAAGCTCTTTTCTTTTACTTATTGGCCTTGCAATTTTTATGTATTTCCTCCTAAAAATATTTTTTTTCTCTTTCTCATTTCAAATTCTCAAAACCTATTCTCAAAAAAGTAGTTGTTTATCAGCTGAATGTATTTAGCAAGTTTTCTTTTCTAATGTTGCAGTTTTAAAAATGTATCAAATTGAAGAATAAATCTATTAAATTTCAAAGGAATTCAGAGAAACATTGAGCAGTACACTCTTTCAGGCCCTCTAAGATTACTCAAGTCACATTAAACTTTCAGAATAAACCATAAATCAATGGCTAAGAAACACACAACACTGCTTCTCTTTTGCTAAAGTCTACTTATTACTTGAAAGTCTGGATCTAAATCAAAATAAGTACGAGAATTTAAGGGTCTTTATCTCCAATGGAAAGTTTTCCAACAACTTAGGATACACTCCTAAACCTCTTGTGAGTGAAACAATTGACAGAAATCATCTCAGAAAATAGACAAAATACATGAGATGAAAAAGTGAAAATGTGAGAAATGAGTAGAAGTTTTGGGCTAATTTGTTAAATTATATTTTAGATCAAAGCATTTAGTACATGTTAGTAAGCTTTAACATGTAGTAAGCTTTAAGATTTGGATTGGATAGAAAATTATTGAAAAGTACATAGAAACTAGGTTCAAGTTTCAGAAAAAAAAATCACCGCACTTTTAATAAAAGGCACAAAATGACATTAATACTTACAGTGAGAGGAACTGGGTCTTGAAAAGCCAGACTCATTTCATGGCAGTAAAGAAATAAAAGTAGGCGCTCACACTTCTAAGCAAAAATAAATAAATAAAATATATAACAAAATAAGTCACAATCTAAATAACACTGTCATGTGTCTCAAAGTAGAATAAAAAAAAGAAAACTGCTGACAGCTTTGATCTCCTCAACATTTATAATGAACTGCACTATCTTGACAGCTCAAGGGACCTGTGACATTAGGAACAGTCATTTTAATTATAGGAACAAAGGCACTATCACTAGAAATCTACTTGAAGCTCTTTAAAAAGGAACTCCACTATCTCCAGTCTGTGTACATTATTATTAACAGCCAACAGAGTCTATCCATATGTGCAAGACCCAGAGGTGGGTCTCTTCTGTTGTGTAGTCAGACCCAAGACTTCCCTCTGTGTGAGAGCTGAGGGCCCCATCAAGCTCTGCCACTTCTGTGGGGGTTCACGCGTCAGCACTGTGGCACTAGCAGTGCACTTGGGCCTCTCCTGCACAACTGCTTTCACACTGGCTCTTCTGTGTCAGTTACCAAAAGAGCTTCCTTAGACATAAAGAAGAGCTGACTGAGTAGCTTTTAAATATAGTTAGCTATATTAGCTGGCTTTGGATATAAACCTAGTAACACATGGTGAAAGAACAAAATTACTTTCAGGAAGTGTAAATAGAAAGCTACCTCTCTTTGGTACTGAGAGTATCTGTACAGGAATTAAAACACAATGGAAATTTACTAAAAGGAGACTAAATCTAAAGACCCAAATCACACACAGGATATATTTTCCACCTTGTTCAAGGGCAGTATTTTAAGCTTCTAGAAAATGTACATGTAGTACAATGGTCTTTGATTTAAAAAGCCATCAGATGTCTTTTTTTTTTTTTTTTTTTTTTAAAGATTTATTTATTTATTCATACAGAACTGGGGTACAGGCCAGAGGCTCAGGGGCGGTGAGAGGCTTCACCAGAGACAGAGTGGGGAGCAGAACAGGCGGGAATCGAACTCATGCGGAAGTGGCTTCAGATTCTCAGTGCTGTGCTTTAACCCGCTGCGCCACCAGGGAGGGCCCAGATGTCTTTTTAAGTGTATTATTTAAGCTTTCTATCTATTATTCCTAAAAAATTACTCCTAAAAAAAATCATCAGCATAAAATTTGCTAGAATACACACACTTCTTTGATGAAAGGCACAAACACCTGCATTACATGAATGCATCTAATACCAAACACACTCCCCTAACCCCTAAACTCTTTTAACACTTTATATTGAAAATGGTCAAAACTTACCCTTTTATCTATTGGTGTTAATTTAACAAAGCCTTCAGTTTTCTTTTTTTCTGAGTTGTGACTAGGAGCATCACAATCGTATTCAACTTCTGGTTTAGATAAATCTCGGCAGAAAGTACAAATCCACTCTCCACTGTTGGGGGATGAAGTAGTTCTGAGTTCCTAAAGCATCATTTCTCTCTTACCATCTACCTCCCTTTCCCACCTCCTCCATGTCATCTATTACTGAGTTATTTATCTGGCATGAACTTTAATAACTAAGCATTCACCACAGGTCTGCTATGTACAGGCCCCATGCTGAGAGAACTTTTAACAGCAGAGTAACAGTGCAAGGGTCTGCGCAGTGTGCACTGAAGTCTGGGCAAGAAGGCATGAGTTACACTTATGAAAACGAAAACTTAAAACACACATTTAAATATGACTGGTGTGAGGCACAGCTGACATTTCCCCCCATATGACTGAGGACAAAGGAAAGCTGCTGGTACTATTCATGCAACATTCAAGTTTGAACTTAAAATTTAAAAAGTGCAGACTTTTTAAATTAAGATGTCAACCCACAGTTATTCATCACCATCACCACATAGGATATGAGAATTTGAAATATTTGTAAACGGCACAGCATAATGCCTGGCAAATAAGATACAGCAAGCATCAACATGTTAAGGCCTATTATATTTTCCTTTTTCCTAACTGTCTAGGATTTTGAGCAAAGCCAATGGAATGGAGGTGGGGCAGAGGAAAGCCTATGTTGCAGGTTTTGGAGTATACATGTGTGCCAAGTAGACTTTCACTTAAATTTTTACAAGATTTTGTTGTAATATCATTCCAGCTTCTTGCCCTTTTTTGTTTTTGGTTAGTGAATGTCAGAAAGGGAATCGAGTACTATCTTACCTGGGAAAGTTCGCCAATGTGGGCACATGACAAGAAAGGTGGAACACTTTGGGACACTTCTCACAGCATAGGAGTTCCCCTCCATTCTGACAAACCGCACACCAGTCCTCATTGGGGTCATCCTCTTTCCTTGTCTCTCCAACATGAAGGGGTGACTTCTGGGAGGCATCAAGCCACTCAGGCTTTCCATTTGAGGAATTTTCCTGGTGAAGTCCAGGCTGATCTCCTGTGCTGTCAGGAGCATCTGATCTTAGCACAGACTCCTCAGAAGCAGAGCTCTGACTACTATTTAAGAGCAGGGAGGTAAGAATACTTCTTGGATAGTTGGTCTGCAATGGAAAAAGACAACACTGTCTATTTCTCTCAACTGGCATTCTCTGTTATGCAATACTAGCTGTAGAGTGATCTCTCCTGGGTGCCAGGTCAAAGGAGTTTGTAAACATGCACGAGACTAGGATATTTTGTTTTCTCCAGGTACATCAAATTCCTCCCACAGCCCAAACGCCACCCATGCAGGTCTCAGATTGAGTGTGCGGTATAGGTATAAATGATCCCCGAGATGGAAGGGGGTTTTGACCCACAATGTGATGGGGTCTGGCCACTTTTAAGTCCGAACTGGAATAAGCTTGTTGGAAAATGAATAAATCTAAGTGAACGTTTAATATTATATTGATGCTAGCAGCACTTTACGCCTTTGTAAATCTGCTGCAGTTTTGGTGACCAGAAATATGCCATACGGACTTACCTTCTGCTTCTATCGATCAACCTATGGTAAAATTGGTTTTGTTATATTGTTTTGCTAAAAGTCAGTTTGCAAGATACTGAACAATGTTACGTAGCTGAATCTCACTCCACGGAGGCAATTATTTCCAAATCATTTAGTCTCTTGCTAGCTTCTTTTTCTTTTTCACCATGTACTCTTCTGCCATTTTCTGATTTTAAAGTAGGCTTATGCTATAATTTCTTGAATCTAAAATTTTAAACATATTTTCCATTCACACACACACACCCAACATGAATTTTTCTTGATGCTCCACCTTTTCACACACACATACACACATACATACAATACACACATTCATACAATCCTCCTAATATAGCTCACTTTTTTTAGTTGTACCCACCCCTTTTAGCGATTTATGGCCAACATTGTCCAGTTGGCATTGCTACTGGAACATGCTAAGTCTCCTGAGAAAACCCAATGTTTGCTTACATGCATATTCAGGTTGTACCCATTGCATTTATTTATAGGTGTTTGTTTACATTATTATGACTAAATACTGCACTGTAACTCTAGCCATGTGTTACGGCTATACTTCTTTTTCAGTCCTTTTATTTTTACAGGCAGTACTTACCTATATATCTTAGCTCGCACGCGACCAGCGCTTAGCACTGGGGGTCCAGGCAGGTCCATCAAGTCATTTCTTATTGGGAGTATGGCGCCTCAGACCAACATCTCTCCACTGTGTTCCCCTATTCCCCCCGCCCCACCCTGCAGCCCTCCCCCCACAGCCAACTTCTCAAATGCTGTCAAAACACCACCTCCTGTCCACCCCACCCCCAGCCCCCAGTCTGTCCCCCTAGCAAAGTGTACTGATGGTGCTGTTACACTGGAGACTGCCTTTTTTCTTGGTCATTTCAGTGTTAGATCCCATTTCCGAGACTTATGTCCTCCTTTCTCCTGATTTATGCCACTTTTTTATGCAGCATATTCTCAAATATCTTTGAGTACAAAGGAATTCATTTTGGAGACCTTACATACATATGTAAATGGGTCTCACTTAACATCAAACATGATACATTGTTTGCTTAGCTATACAAAAGTAATTTTCTTCAGTTTTTAGCTTTCTCTATTGTTTGCCAGCTTGGAGCTCATGATGAGGACTTGCTGTCAATGCAATATCTTGCCCTATCTACAATGTGTTTATTCCTCTGGAAGCTTTTGGACTCTATTCAGAATCCTGGCTTTCTGAAACTTATGACTTGAGTCTTTTTCTTTTAATGTTAGAAATTGATGGGCAAATCCAGACACTCATTCCCTTCAGTTATCCGAAGTTCCTTATGTTATTTCTTTGGCAATTACCTTCCATGTTCTTTACTTCTATGTGTTCTTTCAGATGCCAATCTTTAAGGTTTTTTAAACGCTTCTGTTTTCTAGATTTCATTGTTTTGCTTGATAATATTAGTTTCCCCCAAGTTTTCAACACATAATTTGACTAAGTCTCTGTTTATAAATATTACATTTTAAACTACTTCAGAGCTATTCAAATAGTTTCTTTTTCCCCAAATAAGAGTAGTATGCCAATCATTTGATATAATTACGTTTTGAGGTCTGGATTCTTCATCTGATTCTTGTTTCACTATAACAACAGGAAAATCATAATTTTCAGGTGGTCCACTGTTTTCTTGTTTTATTCGAATTGGTTCCAACATGACCACTGGTACTTTGTGTGTAGAATCAGCTCCTGCTGGTTTGCTGGAAGAACCAGAGCTATAAGAAAACACACACACACACTTAAGAATACTTTGCTTAAGAATCTCAAATTAGGGCCCTCCCTGGTGGCGCAGCGGGTTAAAGCACAGCACTAAGAAGCTTAAGCCATTTTTGCACGAGTTCCATCCCCACCTGCCCCAGAGGAGATCCGCATGGCGTGGCAGACCTCTCCTGACCCGCCCGCTGCTCCCCTCAGCAGTGTACTTTTGTCCATCTGCCTGTTCTGCTCCCTGCTGTCTCTGGTGAATCCTCTCACTCTCCGCATCTCTGGCCTGTACCCCAGTTCTGTATGAATAAATAAATAAAATCTTAAAAAAAAAAAAAAGAACCTCAAATCAAATTACAACAATAGCTTTCAGCTACTGGAGTGTTGCTATTGCTTTCCAACAATGGTAACTATCACATCAGTGACAAATGATGCATAACTGAAATTCAACAACTGCGTGCAAAATGATTTCACTTATGTAGAAAAATGTCCCACATACTAACCTAACCAGATAGTTAAAACTATACATCTGGAAAGATACTTAAATTTAAGCATAATCTGAAAATAAAAATTACTTTCAATATTCTGAGGCACTAAAATTAGCCAGATTCAGTATTTTTGATTTGACATCTTTGAATCTTTCCCATTTTATTCTTTAGTTGGTGACAAAGAACTCTATACTCACATTAACAATTTATTGTCACAGTATGAAGACAAGTAACTACAGATATAATTTACTGGCACTCTGCTATTTAAAAAATGAGTGGGACAAACCTTTCAGATAGTCTCTATATTCTCAGATGATTAAAGGCAAACTTTAATTCCTCCCAGAATTAAGAACTAGTCTTACTGTCTAATAGAAATTCGTAAGAATAACAGATGAGCACAAGTTGTTGAAATGCAATTTCAACAATTTCTTGAGTTTGTATTTGAATGTATATGTTCTATATAGTACACAGTATTATACCTACCTTATTTTTATAGTTTGCTTACTATTATGTTAAAGTCAAACATTGTGTTTATGTTCACCATAGACAATTTTCTTTTAAAGATTTATTTAGGCATACAAGAACTGAGGTGTAGGCCAGAAGTATTGGAGTAGGGGGGAGAGAGGGAGTGAGAGGATTCACCAGAGACAGAATCGGGAGCAGAACAGGCATATCTACTGAAATACACTGCTAAGGGGAGCAGCGGGTCAGACAGGAGGAGTCTGTTCTGCCATGTGAGTCAGCTCCCTGGCCAGGGAGTGAACTCATGCCACAGTAGCTGGTAACAGCTTGACAGTGCTGAGACTTCAAGCCCTTGTCACTAGGGATGCCCAGCATAAACAAATATTTTTCTATCTTTGAAGGTAATCTACACTGTATTTACTCAATCCATTAATTTCTTAAGAAATGTTTTTTAAATATTTTAATTTAAAAATGAAAATTAAAGAGGCTTTAAATTGCACAGAGTATCACCTCACCCCAGTGAGAATGGCATATCTTCAAACAACTAGCAACAACAAATGTTGGCGAGGATGTGGAGAAAAAGGAACTCTCCTGCACTGCTGGTGGGAATGCAAATGAGTACAACCACTATGGAAAACTGTTTGGAGGTTCCTCAAACTGCTGAACATGGAGCTTCCCTACGACCCAGCAATCCCACTCCTAGGTATCTACCCAAAAGACACAAAAACACTGACTGAAAAAGATACCTGCACCCCCATGTTTATTGCTGCTTTATTCACAATTGGAAAAACATGGAAGCAGCCCAAATGCCCAAAAGTAGATGACTGGATAAAAAAGATGTGGTACATATATACAATGGAATATTACTCAGCAACCAAAAAAAGAAACACATGTCTTTTGCAGCAACTTGGATGGAGCTGGAAAAGATCATGCTTAGTGAAGATAAGCAAGAAAAAGAAAAATACCTGATGGTTTCGCTCATAGCAGGAGTATAATGGACCAGGCGAGAAAAAAGTAAGAATAATGAACAGCCATATACCAGAGACACTTTGTGGGGGTGGAGTGGGGAATGGGATCAAAAACGGAGGCGGGGAGGAAGGAAGTGCACGGGACTATGGTGATGGCACATGGGTGACTTGGTGATGGGATACCCACGGGGATTACAATTGAGATGAAAAAGAAAATGTACTTAAATGATGTAAAAATAAACTATTATAAAAAAAATTTGCACTGAGTATCAAAGTAGGCTGAGCACAGGTAGAAGACACCTAATGGAGATACACTAGAGAATAAGATTAGATCACTTTACCTTCCTCGGCTCCCAACGCTGGAGGCACTAGGTGAACGTATGGGTGGGTGTACACTAGTCATCGTAACAGGTCCTGAGGGGTAGGAAGTCATCGACATTCATAAAGTGCATTAATAATTATGTATTTAAATACTACTGAAGTTGTTCACTTACCTCTATAGGAATATGTACAGAAATTATTTTAGACGATAAGTAGCTGCTGAACTCCTAGTACATATAGTCTGTTAGTTCTGCTAGACTGAAGGGCTGTTCCACCTCGGCACATTTCAGCTATGCGAAATGCTATGTGTGTCACTGCAGGAGGTGACCTCAATGTGTTACATCTCACCAGGCTTCCTATCCAAGGACTGATAATCAAAAATTTCTCTAAATGCTGCCAAATGTCCCCTGTGAGGACACTAGTGCCAGTGAAGGCTACAGAAGGCACTATAGAGAGATAGGGCCTGAGATAAAAGCTGTCTGAGAAAGACCACACAGATAGGAATTAGTGGAAGGCACTGGAAGCTGGATTCAGGTTGGGGCTTGAGACAGTAATGAAAGGGAGGAATGCTACACTGCTGCCATGAAAGAAATCATTCAACTTATGCCCACGTGGAAGTGTAGACCGAAAAAGGACAAGTGGAGTAAAATCAGCAAAGACAAAAACACTGCTGTCATAATTTGGCAGAAATGATGAGGCCCAAAGCTAAACAGCAATATAGGAACATATGAAAGTAGGAAACAGAAATTTCAAGTGAAAAAGTTCTAAAAGTTCGATGATTAATGGTATGTATTTGTCAAAGTAAGAAATGAGAAATCCGCATTAACTTTAAAGAACTTCCTTTAAAAAACAAAAGCCAAATGTTTCATTTTACAATGTTTGAAAACTACAAAAAGACACAAATCTACATAACCTGTAAGTTCTCCTTCTACATAATTATTGCTGAAGTTGAATCATCTCCTTTTCCAGTTCATATATATATTTATATTTCTTATATTTAATTCTGGGTATTTAACATTGCTTCAAATTTTCTTACTACTGTAAGTAGTATTTTGATTAACAATTTCTGCCTGTTTAGATCTTAATTATTTCCTTGTAAGTGGAGTATTTAAAAGATTCAATGCTCTCTCGGTTTCCTAAGGCCCTTGAAACAAGCGCATGGATGGGGCTGTGTCCAGTGTGTGGACGCCAGCAGCAACATGGCAAACCGTCTTTCCAGAAACACTGTTCATTATACTTCCACCAGTTATGTAGACATCAGATTACTTATCACAGTCTTTGCAATGAGTATTTTCACTATTTAAAACATTATGAATATTTTTAAAATGTCTACTAGTGAGAACAAGGCCCCCATTTTAGTGGCTATTGTGTATTTCCTCTTCAGGGAATCAATTTTCGTGTTCTTTGGAAATACTGAATACTTATCTGCACATACTTGTTATAAGATTAAAATCTGCACATATTTGTTATATGATTAAACAGTTTCACTGCCCTATTTGTCAAAAATGTCCTTTAAGTTTGTCTGTACTCTCTTTGCTTGTGTCTTAAATAAGAATCTCCTTTTAAATTGTCTTAATATTTAACTTGTGTGACCAGTTATTTTGATCTAAGGCACCTGTTTTGTCACAATGTTTTTCTTTTAGTGGAAATAAGGTATGTAAAAATTTTTAAAAACTAATTCAACACTAAGCAAACCATCTAAGAGTGATCTCTTTGTGTATTATTACCCAAAGTAAATTATACCAAGCAACACTCCCCCCTAACAAAAAAAAAAAATTAATAAATCACAGGCGACTTACAAAAAGATAAAATGTAACACTAATTTCCTCTGGGGAATATTATAATGCTTTTCGGTTTTGTTGAAACTGAAAAAGTACTGAGGTTTAACCTTCATTTCCCATTCTGAAATAATCCCCAAAAGCTCAGGCACATTTTAATTCAACAAAGCAGGGAGGTGGGTTAAGTATTACAAGAAACCAAAACTGCAAAAGCATTACCAAAATTCAGCAGAAGCCCACATTACCTGCAAGGCCTGGAGATGGCACTGATGAATTTGGTGACTGGACAGTTCTGTTTGATGGTGGTCGTGGCTGGCCATGATCTATGCTCGTATCTTTCCTTACAATATTGTCCAGCATAATAGTACTTGAACAGTCAATCTTATAAGGAAAGAAATTATTTCAGGACATCCTGACTTTGCAAGTTCAAAAAACCTTCAAATTACCATTGTATACTAAGACAAATTAAACATCGTTATCAGATGTTATGATGCCTACTCTGAGTAATCTCAAATAAAACTTTTTATTCAAGAATTCTTAATGTCCTATCTTAGTAGATACTTCAAGGAAATGCTACTTCAGAAATCATGAATCAGGGTTAAGAGCATGTACATTATTTAAAATTAAAATAAAACATTTAAAAACATTTCAAAATTAAATAACTGCTCTGCACTTAATTTGTTGCATATTGTGGTTCTGGTTAAGGAATGTGAAAGAAAATCTGGCTTCAAAGGGGTTGTGGAGACTGCAATGCCTTTGGTATACAGTTTCGGAACTGCTTCTCTGGAATGCACTAGAAAGTGAAGCAAGTCCATACCTAACACATTTCCAAATCATGAAGCTCACCTGAATACTTAGATTTTACATTAATGCAAGTATGCATTCATAAGCAGCTATACCAAATTTCTCAAGCAAGCCTTTGTGATTCAAGCCAGTTCAATTACCTATCATAATTAGTCTTTCCCAACAAGGACTTTATAAGAGAATTAAGTCCTACAGTCTGACAGCAGAGATTATCTGCAAATTTATAGGTTGAATTTACTTCTTGCCTCAATGTACAATGGTGCTAGCTATGAACTGTCCTTGGGAGGACTGAGAAAATGATCACTCAAATCAGATCTTTATACCATGGTTTGTATGAGGAATGTCAGTTGAGAAAGGCTGATATATGAAGGGTCATGTGTGTCTGAGGACTTCAGATGGGAGCACAGACCACTTCTAGGGGTCCTCTTTCCTTTTCGGAGAGGGAACGTACACATAAAGTCATTTACATTTCCGTCTTCTTAGAACAATACCTTGTTCAGTAATTTTTGGTGAGTGCAAAATGAAGGTACTGGAATGACTGCATTTTGTTATATTTTAGCATACAAAAAGTGTATTATTGAGCAATCCTAAAAGCTAAAATAAATTTATAGAAATGGGACAAAAGTAGTTTTGCAATGTAGCATCTATGCATGAAAAATATATGCATATAAAATTATTTTACAATGCAATAACTCTGGTAAGGTTAATGAAACAACTATTAGGACAAGAAAATGTAAAACGAGTATTAACTTAGGTATGGAGAGCTGCCTATAGAAGGTTGTATTTTCTGCCTTTTGGAAAAGATTTTTTAAAGTCATACTGACAAACTTAGAATTTAAAGAATAAATATATTTAATCTAAATATATATAAAATTAGTTCATTCTGATCAGTAAGCATGGTCTAAAAAGAAAACATTTTTATTATTGTCTCTGCTTCCTCCCTCTCTAATTTTATTCCAGTATATCATACTCTAATAATTCAATTCAATTTTCTAGTATCTCCTCCAGGTTCTTATACCCTCTTGTCCTAGTTTAGATTCTAAGATCTATCACAATAATTACTGATATACAAACACATCTAACATTAGTGCCCTAGAAGACCTTCAGTAGTAGTTTAACTGCTTGTGATATTTTTATTTTTCATGTTATATATCTAAAAGACACAATCAGTTCCTAAAAACAAATACACAACCAATCAATGATTCGCTAAACCCATGTCTTTTGGTAGAGATCTAATTTCACTTGTACTTTTTCAAAGAGTCTTATCTATGGATTTTGTGTATACTCACATCTGGAAGAGAAGGAAGATTGTAAGAACCTCCAGCTGGTGAGCTCAAGTCTATCATAGGGGAACCAAAAGCCTTCCCATCATATCCTGCTGCACTGGTGATGGTGGGGCTGGAAGGGGTAGAGGACGCACTGCTGGCAGTTGATGGGGCAGCCTGCCCACTGCTGATCTGCCACTGTGGTAGCAAGAAGGAGAAGAAAGGTGTCTATCAGCAGACTTCTAACAGCAATGTCCACCTAACCACTGCTGCAGACTCAGAAAGGAGGAGAAGATGCACTGTGCTATTTAAATTTGAAAGGAAAGGGAGGAGGGCATAGATATATAGAACTTCCATGAATTTGAAACAAAAATCAAAAAGCACTCAATTTGACCAAAAACCAACAGTTAATACATACAAGAAAAGATTAACACTTAGTCCTGGAAAGCTTATACATCTTGGAAAAGAAATATATACCCAGCAACTTTTAAGGAGGGAGGACTGAAAACCTATTGTCCGTGATAGAGCTGAAACTAAAACAGTTAAAAGGGAACTTTTCTAAAAAGGCAATGACTCGAAAGAATATGGAAAAAAACACAAACAGAACATTTACCCACAAGTGGATGAGCAAATTTGTTGTTTTTCACTGGGAAACTATATTCTTTCTCTGTTCTCTCTTTCTCTATGCTATTGCACACTAACTGTAAAGTATTTTTCTATGGATGGACTTTAAAAAACAAAAACCACACTTTAGAAATTAGAAAGTAGGAAAGCAAACAGCATTATCATCTAGTCATTTGATAAAGCTGAAACATAAGCTGGAAGTGGGGAAAAAAACGAGAAGCAAATCAACATATATTGCAGAGCCCATGAAAGCACGGGTTTGGAAGCATGAATGGAAAAACATGCTAAAGACAGGACAATCTGCTGACAGTCTGTCCAAGAAGGGTTAGCTCTTCTGTTCCTTTGCTACTCTATCTGTAGCCGTACCAAGACGAGGACATGTTCTAGAGCAAAGCCTCAGTCATCAACATTGGCCCCAGACCTGGCTTCCAGGTGACACTTTTTTAGACTTACGTCATATATGAAATTAATTATGTATTAAGATATAATGAATTAATATATAATTAAACATCTGAGGAAATGGTGTTCATTTTAGAGGCTAAGATAAACAACACATTAAGATAATTTCTAGGAATGCTGATGTACATAGAAGTACACCGTATTACTGTCTACAATGTACGTTTAGTGCCTACGAGCAGAAAGAAGACTAAAGGATGGCTAAATGAGAATAAAGATAGTAAGTGAGAAGACAAACAGGGCAACTCACCCTCCATATAATTCTTTCAACTGGCTATGTTTGAAGCTTCTCATAGTAAAATACTAGAGAAAAGGAAGCCAGTAACAGGTATGTCAAGACTACGTGGGGGAAACACTACCAAGCACAGCAACATCTATGTCTGGGTTACACAACAGAAAGTGATGGTGTTTGAAACATGCTATTTTTTTTTTTTTAAGATTTATTTGTGCATACAGAACTGGGGTACAGGCCAGAGGCTTAGGGGCGGTGAGAGGTTTCACCAGAGACAGAGTGGGGAACAGAACAGGCAGATCAACGAAGTACACTGCTGAGGGGAGCAGCGGGTGGGTCAGGAGAGGTCTGCCACACCATGTGATCACCTCCTGGGCAGGCGGGAATTGAACTCATGCGGAAGCGGCTTTAGATTCTCAGTGCTGTGCTTTAACCCGCTGCGCCACCAGGGAGGGCCCATGCTAATTTTTAAAAACCCAACTGATACACTTTACCGGAATGGCTATTAACCAAACCTATGGAAGGGCGCCGCATGTACTGCCTCTTTCCCTCTCCAGAGTAATCAGCTGTAGTTGAGATCTCTCCTGATTTTTTTCTACGTGCATGAGATTTATAAAACCTAACACTTCCCAACAGTTTTCCCCCTATCATTCACTCTGGAGAGCATATACAGATTACTGGAGTTTCTTAATAGCTGAGAAATTCGCTAATTTATCAGTAAATTACGATACTGTACTACCAACCTGCCCACGATGTTCTCCTACGTTGCTCATTCACTTATTCATCTTAGACTAAGGAAAAATTGATAACTTTCTTATAGTGTGTCTACCCATAAAAACTAACACATTGGGAAAAAGAAAAGTAAACTTTGAGTGGTTTGAACATGCGGGTTGCTTTTATTAGCACGGAGTCTCAACTAAGCTCTGCAAGGTACTCATTTCAAAGTTTAGACTAATGAGGTATAAAAAGAAACGTGCAGAAAGTCAAAAAATTGTTGGGAACATAAATAGAATTTAAGGCCAAACTGTAAGCTGGAATCCTTTTTGCCTCACCGCTAATGAGAGACAAGAATGAGCTTTATCTAAAATAATTAAACTATCCTATAAGACAGTGGGTGACAGAACAGCAAAGTTAAATAAATTATAAATACAAAATGTACACTTATAAGTGGTAAACTTTATCAGATGTTTAAGCACTCCCCATTAAATCATACTAAGTTTGTTTCCAAGATGTCTTCATGAAGTGGCCTTTACAGATTTATTTACAGTTGAAACACTTCTAACTTGGAACCTAATGTACTCATCCATAATTTTTATTAAATCAGTGAAAAATATCTCACTGACTTCTCACCTTCACTTTTATGTAAGCGGCTTGACTTTGCTTGCTCATAACAAAGCTTGAAGACCGCATCCGTTTAGCATTGTCTACATACCTGTTTGAACTCTGTAAGTCACACTGATTAGAAAATCAAACTTGTTCTTTGTAACAAAGCTTAATCTATAAATTCAGTGTGATTTGGAAGTAGAGAAGAAGATATGCAACTGAGTAGAGGAGGCAGACAGAAATACCTGTTTGATGGCTTGTTGAGCCAAGAAAGCCATCTGTAGGGGGTTGGGCTTTATTGCTTGTCGTGGCATACTCTGATTTGGTGGGTATCTCAGTTGTGGATGAGGAGGAAGAACTGGTCCGTTGGGCTTTGGGCTATGATTCTGAAAATTTATCAAACGTGGAGGGGGTTGCTAGAAAAAACAAATATACTAATCAGTAACAATCATCTCCTCAAAGACAAATTTACAGAGATCACTGTTTTATAAAACTTTTATAGAAAGACAGCAACTATGCCACAGATGCATCATTTCTAATATTACGATGAAAACACAGGGAAGGGAGCAGCCTTCTAGAATTCAAAGAGGTTTCACTAGGAAAGAGAATTGGGAGAGGTGTTGCTAACTGTTAAGGAGATTGTGTCAGAATTGGATGATGACAGAAGTAGGTATTACTTAAGTTCTTGATGATTATCTTTATGTAAAGAGTTACCCTCCTCAACCTCCCTAAAATAGTTAACATGATGGTAGAATAATAATTGATAATATTTACTGAACAGTTATTACATGCCACTGCTTTAAGTGTGTTACATGTGTAAACTCAATCTTCACAATGAACCTATGAGGTAGGAACTAAATCTACTTTACAAATAAGGAAACTAAGATATAGAGGATCTAAATATTTTGTCAAGAATAAGAAAGCCTGCATCCTTACTAATAATTAATAATGAAAACAGCTGATACTAATAACTCAAGATTAACGAGTTTTTGACCTTACTAAGGTCAAACTATATGCCAGGAATTGTGACTAGCATTTCCCATCTCTCACTACTCTTTCATTTTACAAGTTAGGAAATAAACAGAGGAAAGCTGTTTATTTAATAGTATGAAAAAAGTCACATAGGGCTTTAGTATGAATCTAGTTTTCTGTTATCATTACCAAAACATGTTCTGGTGTTTAGTTGGCAATAGCCGAAGATACTAATAATAGCTTAGAGTATGAGTTATCCTTCAATGAAATAAATACTCAAAGAAAACCCTTTAAGGACAATATTGACTGACTACAGGACAACGCAAAGGCTTGGAAGATAAACTTACTTTGACTGCTCATGAATGTTAGCTCTGGAAATTGAGACTAGTGTTCTAGAAAAAGGGTAACTTATATACCATCTTATCTCGACTATCCAGTTCTTTCTATTGTTGGCAAATTAACACAAAGTAAGTACTTCTTTTAAGGTGACCTTAATTATATGATTAGAACTTTACAGACAGGGAGTAAAGGAACAAATAAATTTATAGGACTCAAGTAACAACACTAATTCTGACACTGTTAGGTAGAGTTCTGCCCTTTTTTTGGTTTCCTCCTATTTCTGGAATTTGTTTTCCTGTGAAAATTGCTCATCTTTCGCTCCTCTGACAAATTAGTTAGCATGGACTTACACAGAGTAACTTTCAAGAGTGGCCAGCAATTACAGACACAATTAAAAGTGATTTAGATAATGTTCTAAGATCAAGGGGTGTTCTGCAGATGAATAGACAAATAGAGAAAAACTCAAACTTTTATATAGAAGCATAAGTCTCTAATCACAGAAATGCTGTTTTATTTTATTTTCTATAAAAGTATCTGACTTTAAGATTTTATGTTACAGGAACACAAACAGAAACTGTAGTGGAAAACCACCAAAATGATCCTTGAGGAGAACGAAGTTGCCTACAGAAGTCTTATTCTACTCTGGTCTCACATCCCACCATATTGTTTAAATGTTGCGTCACTGAAAGACACAGAGCGCTAGTAATGTACTCTGATAAACGAGTGTAGGAAATCTAGCCACATGAGAAGCTCACAATCTGCTAAGATGTGACATGACTACTCTCCCCCTCTCCCCCATATGCTACAGAGAATTAATATCTAAGGATCCAGTGACAGTAACAGGAAAACAAAAGAGAAGATCAGGAACTAATTGTGAGCATAAAAAAGCAGTGCTATTTAAAAAACCAATGTCATTTAAAATTAAATGAAATCCACTAATTTGCAAAACACAAAAAGAAAAAGCGACAGGGAATAGAGAATGAGCTTAAGCAAACTAACATATTATCATTATTATCCTCATCTTCACGCTAAGTACTTCCATTATTACAGGCTTTGATTTTATTCTAGGTCAGTAGTTTCCAACTGTGTTTAATCATGAAGGATAGCATATGTCCTATCACCCACCTGCTGTTTAGGAAAATTATGCAAACATATGAATTAGAGTATCTCCACAGCAGTAAATCTAGTTCAGGAATGAGAACCACTGTTCTAAGTGTGTATAAAATAAGAAGTGGAGTGTTGTCTAAGAAACTTAGATGTGTCCATACAGTGCAGAGTACTAGTGTACATGGATAAAAAGATTTGCATCATCTAGCAAGCATGCACTACTCGGCCATGCAGCTATAATTCTAACCCGACATCACCCAGCTCTTAATGATGGAGACTACATGGTTAATCTTCAGAGGAAGAACAGTGAACTATGAAGTAAGTTTTAGAAGCAGTCCTTTGAATTTGTTCACATCCCATCGATTGACGTGGAGTGTAACTGGCACACACCCACAAAGTCAGCAGTACAGGTCTGCCTTTAGACAGACATTTCCCCACTGCACATGGAAATATTTACATCAGCAAGTGGGCAAATGGTGGACAGAAGAATGTATTTGATAGAGAACAGATAAAAATGAGACATGATAGAATATGATAGTCAAGAAGTCACTGAGAATAAGAAAAAGAATACTAAGTATAACGACCAAAAGATGTAAAAATTACTGTATCTCTAATGGGAAAACTAGAAATGGCACAGTATATTCAAAAACAGGGGAAAAAGTCAAAAGCAAATTTATGAGATAATCAGGTCAAAAGCTCAGGTCACTTCTGGTTGTCACTGTCACGGTTCATATAATTATGTAACTATTAAACAACAGATACTGCCTCCTTTTTGGGAAAGATAACACAAATAATAGATTTACCACCTTTGGATTAATAAAACTACTTTTTTTCCAGATTAATCAATGATTAAATAACTTCACCTCACACATTTGACTATTAAGTAAATGCTAAGCATAAGGCATCAACAAGTAATTACTTTCTCTTCAGATTCTGAAAAATTTTTCTCCTCTTTGTGGTCTATCTGAAATATGTAATCGCAATCTGCAAAGCTAGTAGCAAAATTATTCCTGAATTTTCTTAAAATTTCAACTGCCAGTGAAGCTCCAGGTTTACTTTTCCCATGGACTACTCAAAGATCTCTTAAATACTTGTTATTTACTTCCTGTGAAAAGCTAGGTTCTAACAAAGTCTGAGAGGATAATCAATAGGGGTTGGTGAAATTTCTTTATATTTGATACGCTGTGTTAAAGCAAAATAACTAGAAAGCTGTAAACCTCCAGCATGTCACCTCAGGCGTTCACAGAAGCTACTTAACACCACCAAGATCTATATATGCCCACAATTTTTTATTAAAGGTTGAAGAATCCCAGAGGATCATATGTTGTTTTGTAAAATTACAAAAGATTCCAACTAATTGCTATTTCAGTAAAAGCCATATATCTTTTCCTCTTTGGGCTCGTAAAATAAATACTAGTATAAAGTTTCTTCTCTGACTGGTATGCATTCTTTTTATCAAATAATACAGATATTATTCCTGTTAGGTTCTGGCTTTACTTGACAAAAAAAAAAAAAAAAAATGGAGCTAAGTCTTGTTCTCAAGTATAAAGAGAATTAGAATTCTTGGCCTAGTTTTGCATTTGACTCATTAGACCCTGTTCCATTTCAATTTGTATCAACTGTTACAAATCACATAAAATTCTTCTCAGAAATGTGAAGAAATAAATGTAACTGAAAATATGAATTTATATGAACTAGATTTTATGGTTCTTTTTAAATGGAAGTATGCTCACATCTAACCTGAGCAGAACTGTCAAACTATTTCACAAATGGCATAAACACCTTTTATCTTCAAAAACCAGGATTAGGAGAATATTTGCAGCTAGTAAAAATGAGAATTTCTCACGGACGTATCTACTCAGAAATGTCTGAAAAACACATAACCCTAACACTACTCCCTTGCCACTTTCTATTTCATTTTGCCCCAGTGTCAATGATGTGATATGATGTGATGTGATTCCTCAACAGTCACCTAAAGAATTAGTGATTCTGAAGCACTAATATAGGAATTAAGAGTTCACGGTACACAAATTTTCTAGTTATAGGCAGGGTTATACAGGAATATAATTATCCTCTGTCATGATTTGAAGACAACGAAGAGTAGATGAAAAGAGATGTACCAACTAAATAAATTATTAAATTCTTTTTGAGGAGGGCTAAGACACTAAGAGTTAAATCAGGGATCCTTAATGTGAAAAATTTTTATAACTTCATATATTTAAATCACGGATAATATCTTGGTCATTTTAAGAGCTGCTGAATAAAAGTGTACTATAATGGTCTAAGTTAGGATAGCCCTGCTTCCAAATTTACCTGATGAGAGATGGAAGGTTGCTGGATGGGCCCCTGCATTCTAGGGTTTGGTAAACCCACAGGTGCTGGCCTCCGTTGCACCTGTTGCCTCTGAGCCATTACCTGTTGCTGCATATGCTGGAGTCGTAATTGAGCTAGGCTGATCTGTGTTGGGAACTTGGATAACTGGTTTGAAGATAAACCACCTGGTGGCTGTGAATTCTGTTCCACGACAGGATTCTGCTTAGGCATTTGAGGCTGACTCTCTTTATCTTCAATTACTAAAGAACCTAATCAAAGAGAAAAGGTTAAGTTCTAAAGTTTTTCTGATAGTGAAATACCACATTTTGTAAGGTTATTTTTTTCCCTGAATTTCAGAAATGTTGAGAACTTTTTCATCTCAGGAACCCTTTATACTCTTAAAAATAGGAGACCCCGAAAGAGCTTTTGTTTCTGTATGTACTGTCAAAGTTTACCATTTTGACAATTAAAAAAAGAGAATTAAAAAAGCTCTATTTACTAAATCATTTAAAGTAACAATAAGCCAGTAACATGTTCTTAGGAAAAATATTTTTAACAATCTAATAAAGAGTGGCACTATTTTATGTTTCTTAAAATCTTTTTAAATGTCTGTCATATTTGTCATGAATTAGTCTGTCATAATACAGTCTTTGGCTGACATGCATGAAGAAAATCTGGCCACAGAGGACCATGCTGTTGGAGAGGAGAGGCTTCAGTGGCTCTAAAGGAGCCTCAGGCTACACTTTAAAAATTGCTATATATATCAAAACAAGTAAACTTGACTTAGTCCAAAAGACAACCCCACAAAATATTAACAAAGTTATCTCTCAAGTTTCTTACACCTTTACACCCATACTACATTAGTTCTCTGACAGAAATGCTTTGCCTGGCTTCCAACTGCAATTTTAGAGCTTAAAGAAAATCTCTAACAAATGTGATCCAAACATAAGGCCACTCTTGATTTCTACAACAGTAGACACTCAAGAGTAAGTATATATCCTAGAAAAAAAAAAAGCTACCATTCATTACTGTGTAAGGCATTGTAATAGCAGATGTATATTTTTATTAAAGTCCTTTTTTACAGATAAATGATCTATAACTTCTGACAAACTAAACAATTTACCCAAGTAACTAAGACACTGAGCAAACATTCATCTAGACCAGTATTTTTCCCTTGTATTTTTCTATAGATGATTCTCAGTACTCTTCTATAGATATTTCTCAGAAGTCATGGATAAACAAATTTGGGGAATCTGGCTTCTTGGAAGATCTCATTGTAAATGACAAGTTACAAGAGTTGACAGCTCTGAGAAGTCTTACAGTAAAGGATATTGTTTAACATGTATCGGAGTTTTACAAAGTTTTCAAAAATAGCAGGTACTGTTTTAATTTTGTTTTCACTGATGGTGAGGCAGGGCAAGAGGTAGTTACATGCCTTGAATTAAGAGGTTTCTTTTTAGTCACATAGGAAGTGAGTGTGTGGTCCCAGTTGCCTGCAATGAGTCAATTAATGTGTCTCCCTACCACCTATCTTTAAGGATTCCTTTTGTTCTTCCTTTGCATGGATGAGATTTGTTTGAGCATATTTCTTTCTTTCCTGGATTATTCCGAGCACTAGCCATTGCCATTCTTCCAGTCATTTCTTCCTTTCCTACCCAGAATCTAGCGTAGGGACTGAAAGAGCAACCACCTTTGTTGTTTCTAAAAGAGTCAATGAGACCCAAAAAGCCATCACGGGAATACTGGTGCTTGACAAAGAATACGTGAGGAATTCTTTATTTCAGTTTCTGTGTGAGTAATGCCTATGTGAGTTTCCCCAAGAAAAATTAAGAAATGAGGCAAAAAGTGAAGGTATTTCCTAGCCTCACAGAAAAATTGAGTAACTTCTCCTGTTGAACTGTCCACAAAAACATTTTAGCTTGTAATGTTATCAAACTCAGAGTTTGTGATACTCAGTGAGCGCTTACATTTAGGACCTTTGGCACTTCTCTGTATGCATGTTGTATTCCAACCAGAAATTAAAAACTACATGTAGTTACTGCTCAAAGGCAGAAGGAAAACTGAAGTCTTCCTGGTAAGATAAAGCAAATGAATCACTAGGTGTCCCATGTGAGTAAACCTAAAGTTAATATAGTACTAGAAATACTATAAAACAGAAAACATGCTAAAGGAAAAACTCCTTTATCAATAGCATTTAAAAGGCAAGGTTTTCAAACCACTAAGTTTAGACGCTACTATTCCCAGCACAGGAAGGAATCCATGGAAACAGTTCCCAAGTTCAGATATCACATGAGTCAACATAAAGGACATTTCATATCCCCCATATTTTACATGTGTTTTTATAGTCTTGGATGTGTCATATATAGAACACATTAATGAAACACCAGTGAAAACCATGTCTTTGAAATAAGATAATGAAAATACTTTGGGGTGGAAGAGAATACATTTTCAAGAACACGTCATAATCACTAAGAGTTACAGAAACAAATGGCACTTAGAGAAAATGTACACAAATAGCCTACCTAAATTAAGAATATTTTGAGCCCAGAAACTAGGATCACAGTGAAACTGGATGGTATTGTTGGTTACTGGAGAAGCATCACATCTAGCTCGAAGTAGATGCCGTAACCGGTATGTAATCTAGGAGGAGATAATAAAACAACATTATCTTCAAGCATTAAGTGTCCAATAGTCTCTGGTATTCTGGTATACCAACATAAGATAAACAATCATAAGTTATGAAAAGTGGATGTGACTATCATTTTCTACATTCTATATCTAATTCTATATGCAGAAAATACTTTCATATTTTCTAGTTGAGGTGTAATTCAGCTATGTTTGCATAGAAAACTGAAAAATAAGTCAGCTTTAAAAAAAGATTTATTTATTCTTTATGCACACAGAACTGTGGTACAAGCTAGAAGTGCGGGGGTGGTGAGAGGATTCACCAGAGACAGAGGAGAGCAGAACAGGCAGATCGGTGAAGTACACTGCTGAGGGGAGCAGCGGGAGGATCTGGAGCGGTCTGCCATGCCACATGGATTACCTCTGGGGCTGGGGATTGAACTGCACTGAAGTGGCCATGGTTAGCTTCAGTACTACCTTCTAACCCACTGCGCCACCAGGGAGGAGGGCCCAGTGAGCTTTTTTTTTAAAGAAAATTTCATAGAGGCACCAAGTAAGTGTCTTCAAATAAAACATTTTAACACATCTTGCTCCTTTACTTGTTTTACTTGGTACTTTAAAGAATGATACAAGATTTAGAGTTACTGAGTTATACAGTAAATGCAGATTAATCGCTACTCAGGAAATATAAGCACAGCCACAATCAGGCTCTCTGGTGGGGTGGGATAGGGTGGTCTCCTGGCTCTCACATCCATGCCTTCTACCATCACCATCCTTCACCCCTGCACAAAGCAATCCTCAGGAAATACCTTTGTCAATAAAGAACTGGCTCACTGTCAATCTCTCTAACATTTCTATCACAATTCTTGATACTTTTAATATCCAACCAGAAAATCCTTCTTTCCAGTGGCCAGATGCTACTTATTTTAGGTAGGCTCTCCCTCACTTTCAGACTCCACTGGCGGCTTGGTTGTTTCATTGGGTGAACAGATCAGACACCTTCCACAAACTTTTGGCAATGGTTGGTGCTCCCCTTGGTTAAGGCAAATTAAATGGCCCTGCTTCTAGCTATAGCCAATTCTTCCACTAATGCAATGGTGCCCAACCTCTTATCTACTCAAGGGCATGGCTCAGCAATTTTCATCCCTCTCCAAGTTTTCCATTTTACCGCTCAACACATAAACATACTTTAACTTTTCACAACTTGAAACAAAACACTTGGTTCCTTTTCTCCTCCCTCAATACTCTGCAAACTTTAGGTTGCAACACAAAGTGAACTTCCTACTAAAGGCCTGGCTTTCCCTTCTTCCTGCTAACACTATACCATCTCAGTCTCCATAGTCAGTTGTTCTCCTACACCACCCATGTGTCGGAATAGCCCAGGGCATCCAACTGCTCTCTCCCCTACACTAACATACTTCTAGTGATTTCCTCCAGTATTACAGTTGAATCAGTCCTTAATTTATATCACAAGCCTAGAGCGCTCTTCTGAATTTGCACTTCCAACCATTTAGTCAACATCTCCAGCAAGTTGTCTATAAGGGAATTCTTTCTCTCTTCATGTCTACTCTTTCTATAATCTAATTTCACTCAGAGGTTAGCACTATTTTTCCTACTGCTTAGTCAGCCCTTGATTCTTTTCTTTTTCTCATGTCCTATATCCTAATTTCCCTATTAAAATTACAACTACCATCCCAGCGGAGCATCCCAATGCTCCCACACTCCTCCCTTACTCTTTCTCTATAGCACTTAAGATGACAGTCTATGGTTTACTTTTGAGTACTGTCTCTCCCCAGCAAAATGCAACCCCTTAAGGGCAAAAGTTTTGTTTCCTCCTCCCTCAATACTTTGCAAACTGCCTGATATATCACAGTATTCAATAAATAACTACAGAATAAATTTGCTTCTCTACTAAACTGCATCAGCTATAATAAATTCTGAGTAAAAATACTAACTTTTATCAGAGCTGTGTGGAGTAAAACGGCACAGTGCTGAGCAACCAGCACTCAATACTGTCTTGTTCCCTTTGTCCCTTTCTTTTGCATCCTCTAATAATTTTCACTATAAAATGTGAAAAAGAATTATTTCAAGAACATTTCTCTGCAAGTATTTTTACCATTTTCGAAATTTAGTCATTATTTTGAAGTAATTTTAAAATTGAAGGAAAAAAAACCCCAAAACCCAAATACACAGACATTTCAACTATATATAGTATATATAATAACATATTACCATATTGTGCCAGCACTCACCCAGCTGCTCCTATGCACAAACATTATTGCTACCATCTTTTTCTGAGCCTTACAACAGCAACCTACTGGTAGGAAGTTCTGTCTCTGCTGCACATTCCAGGAAGAATATCCTAAAGCAAAGTTCCTCTGAAGTAACAGATTCTAAATCCAGAAAACATAATCCAAAGACCAGATTCAACTGTCAACTACCCCAACAGTGTCTCTTCCCAGGAAGGGTCAAGGAATACGGTATTTCATTACCTGTCTCTCTAGTTCCTTCACTATTCCCTGTTATTCCGTATGATGACCTTTGGCGTGGGCCTGAGCATGCCTACCCCTAGGTAGGACGTATTCTCCTCTGGGATACCACACAAGTAGTATGTGCGTTTCCCAGTGCCCTGTTACCTGAAAACACAGGATGTCAACTTGTCCAACCCTGCTGATATGAAATCTTCATCACCTGGCAAGATGCTGCCAACCTCTCACCCCTTAGTTCACCATTTTCCCCCTTTGTAATTGATGAATATTTTGCGCAGAGACACTCTAGGATTACACCAAAATACTGATCCTCTTCAAACTTCTCCCCACCACTGGTATCTACTGGTAGGTAACTCCTGAACTACCTCTACGTACTGACCAAAAATATTTTTGTTAAATGGCCACTTTCCCCCCTACATTTATTAATTTATATTCTGCTATAAACGTTCCCCTTCTTTCAATTACCATTAACTTACATATATCATTATGGATTCACGTGCTCTTTTTAAAATTCAATGCATTTTAATCCATTTTTCTATTTATTTAGTTTGTTCAGGAAATTTGATTTGCCCGGTGGGAGCCCTGTTAGGCTGGATCCTGGTTACTTTATGATATGCTTCCATCATTCTCTGATACAAGATATTCTGGGCACATCTTATACTTCCTCCCACTTTCCTTGTTATTTAAAAAAAGTTCTGGAAGGATAGAAAGCTCACTGCCATGGTGGGGATGGGGGGGACACACAGTCATACAAAGGTAACATAAACATGTACATTTGAAATGTATCTGCGTATATGCAAAGCGGTTCATATTTGTATCTCCAATTCCAATCCAAAACACTTAGGGCTCTTTCTACTTAAGTAACTTCTCTAAAAAAAAAAAAAAAAAAAAAAAAAAAAAAAAAATTACTCGTGATGTATTTACTTACTAGCTTACTATAATCAAAATCCAAAGGATACCAGCTGTCTGCTTACACCTCTGGGTTTTCCACTCACCCCATTCTGTGATGCCAACCTTGTGCATCTGTGTATCCCTCAACCCTTTTCAGTACCCTGTGACTTCAAGTCATCAGGGTCAGAAGGGAAGATGCGTGAATATTTTTATTAAAACTTTTTTTCACCTCCTCTAGGCAAACTACATTGACTTAACATTTCTCAACTTAAGAATTGCAATAACTCCATTTTTTTCTGCATTCTGATGGAATGTAAAATGCCAGTTAGTCTCTCTTACCAGTCGCTTGCTATATAGTAAAGCTGTACTACTGCCACTGGAAACTGCCCATTTAGAAAAATGCATGACATGTTCCAACTGTTTAGAAAGTCCAGCCACTTCCTGCTGTTGTTGCATAAGTTTCATGCGATGGTCCTTTGCAAGGCTCTGAATAAGAAAATAATTTCAAATTATTTCTCCATGACATGTTTTAATGACCATTTTCAAATTACCAAATTAGAAAAACTATTAACTTCTAAGTATCCAAGTGATACAAACTAAAAATATTCTTTGTTATGTTCCCCCAGTACAGAGAATTATTTCTACAGCAAAAAACAAAACCCACCCAAAATCTCTCCCCCCACAAAAGCCACTATCTTCATGATCCTGCATCTTTAGGTTCTTAAGTTTTTACGTATCTTAGATTTAAGTCTCTGTTCATGCATCTCTTAATATCTAAAATGGGGCAAAACGATGAGCCATAATAAAGTAAATGGTCTGTTAAATTCAACACTAAAATAAATGTATCACCCATCAATCTGCAATATTACTAGATCACAATTGAGTCAATCATAGGATCTCTCCTTTGGGCATTCTAGTCCAGACTACAACCTGTATGTGCCCAGTCATGCCATAAAGCAGGTAATCCTTATGCTTTGTAAGTGGTAAGAAGGGCATCACACTATTTCCTTCCATTGAGAAATACCCTGGGAACCAACTGACACACGACTAGTGCCTATGCACAACGCTACACGAGCGCAACAGCTACCTAAACAGAATAGAGAACCTCAGAGGGAAGTGCACAAGCTTGAACAGAGGCTGATCAAAAGCAGAGAGCTTGGTATATTTCAAAGGTCTCTATACAAACAGGTTGTGCCCTACTGGTAAAGGAAGGGGACCAGAACAGAATTTTGTACTGGTTCTGATAGATTAGATAAATTTGAAAATAAAATTCATACACTCCAACTAGGACGTATAGTCATAATTTTGAAAAACAAACTAGATCTCGGCCCTAAGCAGTTTTAAATTTGAGAAACACATGTACACTAAATTAAGGAAAAAATTGTACTGTCAATGATGTTGTAAGATTTAAATTCAGAAATAACTTAGTAAGCTATTTCTGATTCCTATTAAAAACTAAAGGTTTCTTTCTATTCTTTCTGGAAAGTATCCAAATTTGTTAACTTTTGGGGATGTTGCAAATTGAGAATATATAAGGTCCAGTTTTCTTGGTCTTCTGTGGCAACAAATATTTGGGGGCTAGCTTCCCTTGAGTATTAAGATAAAACTGTGTTGTGAACTAGGAGAATGAATATGAAAACTAAAGGCATTATTTAAAAGGTGCTGTAAAAATGTATTTCAATAAGGTTGATTAACAATGATTTTTTTCTTTTCAAATCTAGGTTCATTTCTAGGGATTTGAGACTCTAATCATCTTTTATTTATCAGTTTTTAAAGTACTACAGGCAATTCTGAGTTGCAGTCAAGCTTGGAAACTGCCATAGTAACATGTGCGCTCTGAGAGCAAATCTAAACCAGTTGTGATTTTAAGCAGAGCTAAAAAATTAAGTATTTTAATTAAAAAACAAAAACAAAACCTCACAGAATCTTGAAAAAATAGTTACTATAATTGTGATTAAGAATTACTCTGCCCTTCTAGAATACTTTTCACTAAGTATTTGTTTCTAAAAGAAGGTATTATTTAGAATTACTTGCTTTCTATATGATTGATGTGCCATGGAATAAGCATTCTTTCCCAGAAGTAATAGAACTTTCTGACAAGGACCTCATAATTCTGTCAACTATAAAGAGGCTTAAGTTATTTCCAGTACTTTATGCTTAGTCTTCAAACATTAGACTTCTATTTTTTCATTCTAAGTTGCACATACTATGAATTCTTTCTATACCAATATACTAAAGGAAAACCAAAATATAGTGTAATTAATAATACATTAACATACCATGTAGAATTGTAACCTCATTATTATTTTGAGTCAAGCAATGACTTTAGACATTTATCTTCACAAGTGGAAAGAAGCTGAAGAGAGTTACGGCTTTCTTACTGCAGTGAAAAACTATTGAAGTGTCTTGAGCACTTTTTCCTAAGCACTCCTTTCATGATTAAGAATATAGAAGGTTAGGGGCTAGAGGCATATTTTAAAATATAATTTCTCACAAGGAAAATGTATATCCTTGAGAATGAACTATAGTTAGCAGGATATTTTTCTAAGAATAAATTTTACTAAATTGTACTCCTTTTGATGATGCACAGTTGTCTCATCAATGATTCTTTAAAATGGTATGACTCAAAAAATCTAGCAACAACAAATGCTGGCAAGGATGGGAAAAAAAGGAACACTCCTGCACTGCTGGTGAGAATGCAATCTGGTCCAACCACTATGGAAAGCTGCATGGAGGTTCCCCAAACTACTAAAATTGGAGCTTCCATATGACTCAGCAATTCCACTCCTACATATCTACCCAAAGGACACAAAACACTAATTCAAAAGGACATCTGCACCCCTATGTTTATTGCAAGGCCATTTACAACAGTTAAGCTATGAAAGCAACCCAGATGCACAAAAATAGATGGCTGAATCAAGAAGATGGATTATTACTCAGCAGTCAAAAAAGATAAACTCATGCCATTCGCAGCAACATGGATAGAGCTGGAAGGAATTATGCCCAGAAATTGGCCAGAAAGAAAAAGAAAAATATTGGATGGTTTCACTTATAGGAGGAATGTTGAGGAACCAATAAATGATCAGGAAGAAAAAAAAATTAACTACAATAAATTAAAAGTAAAAATCAACAGGCAACTATAAATTACATTCTGCAGGGAAGGAGGAGGTTGTAGTATTAAAATAGGGGTGGGAAGAGCAAGTGAGACTATGGTGATGGTACACAGGTGAACTGGTGGTGGAATTTCACAGGGACTACACCTGAGGAGAGAAAGCGTACACTGTACAAATAAGAATAATGTAAATACAGACATATATATGTATATATATAAAATGTTTAGGGGGGGAAATAAATAAAATGGTATGATTCACCTCTTTGGCAGCAAGTTCCTTCAAGTGAAACATGCTTTGCACTATAAAGTAAACAAAAATCAAGACATTCCTGATGTACTGTTATAAAGCCTTAGATTGTGGCTACAGTGTAGACTAATCTGGCAAAGGGAAGTTCTGAGATGGCGAAGCAGTAGTATTAAATCATAAACGGAACAATATAAAAAAGGCTATGATTTCAAATGAACAAATTACATAAAACAACACTATTAATATCACAACATACTATGCAAGGAATTGTAACCTACCTCAAGTTGATGTAGTAGAGCTTTTCCTTTTTTATTTATTTCTACCATCAATGTAAATATAGCAACTTTAATATCTTGTTCCACCTGTTTTTGATTTTGATTTACTTCAATTATCCTGAAAATTAAGTAAAAAACAAATTTAAGGCAGATTTATCTTAAAATATTAAAAAAAAATTTTTTTGTGTGTCTAAGATAAAAATGATTTCACCTCTTAAAATAGCCTTGCTATATTTTTAAGGGTCCTTCAGTTTAAATTGTCTTTCTTGAAAATGAGACAGCAGAAATATAATTCTTGTGGAAGATAGTCATTAAATTCAATCTTAAAATCAAAATGTATAAAATTAGAAATTATAGGAAAACATCATTCAGAAAGATGACACCCAGGAAAGTAAAATTTTAACATATTAAGGATAGGCAAAAAAAAGTTCTAAGCAAGATTCAAGAGCACTATGACTCTGAATGAGTTCCATTTGTGTTCAATGCAATGAAAAAGTACAAAATTGAGAATGTCACAGGTATTTATCTGAATTGCTACAGTGTTCATACCCCTGAATAGGAAGCGAAAAGATAACATTAGCTACTGAGTTTAAAAACACTATTTGTCTTAAAATATGCAAATAATAACATTTCAATGACCGCATCCATCTCCTCCTTGATTAGAGAAATTACAGATCCTACTTTCATTGAGATAAGACTGATTGAAAATACATAGAACAGAAAGAATGTGGCACCTACCAATATTATGAGATAAATAAAAAGCTTCATTTCTTCTGCCTGCACTCCCCAAAATTTAAGGCCAAAGGACAGAAATTCCATTCTCTATTGGAAATTCTTCAAGAAAATTATTTGACATTAATATCAGCTAACTGATCAGGGAAAGGAGATGGGGAAGTAAACAACCTCAGAAACTACATCATAAAGCAATACTATGTTTGAACATACATAGAAATGAATTACTAGCACAGTAAATGAGTCCAGTAATCTAACCTTCCATAATTAGGTAGGCTAAAAATATGACTGTTAGTACCTGATCCAATTTTTATCATAATTCAAAGATTCCAATCATTTCCACAATAATGTATTACCTTGTTAAGAGTATACATTTTTTTTAAAGCACAGACCACTACTAGATTAAAAAAATGAGTTCTAGAAAATGCAACAAAACAATACTTCCAACAAACAGCACTGAAAAAATTGAATATTCAAATGTGAACCTCAGAAGCTACAGCTCATTATATAGTGAAAGAACTTAAAAAGTCAAAATGGTAAATTTTATCAAGGTGGAACTTCTACTTAAAATTATTTTACAACTGCCACATTTTGCCACTAGATGGTAGAAATACCCTAATAGAAAATTTGTCATTCCAAAAATATTCATTAATAATTTACAATTACACAGATAAAAAAAATCTTTATAGCCACCATTTACTCTACTTGGCAAATTATAGCATTCTGCTTAAAACATGTTAAAGGAAATCATATTTGATTAACATTAGGTGAAAGAGAAAGATAAAATGCACAGAAGAGTGAAACCGAAAGACACAATAGAACTGTCATTACCACAATGTATAATAATGAACAGGTATAGTATCTGGGTATCAAGAAAAGGTCAAACTATGTTGAAGAACCACATTCAAAGATATCAGATAGTCCAGGGAATGCCTAGGGAAAAAATGCCCAAACACCACACCCTAGCTATATTCTAAAAAGGGAATAATAATAGATCAGGAAGACTTATGAATCTCAACTTTCCTTGAGAAAGTTCAAGTCCCCTACAGACCATTTTTATTTAGACTCTCTTTTAGAAGCATTTCTTGCTCTGTTTAAGCAGTGATACACTATTTTTGTATGCAAAACAAAAGAGGGCCTGGGATTTCAGAAGTGTTAAATGTCAGTGTGTGTTCCCAAATGGGATTTAAAAGGCAGCTAACCAAAGTCACCCTTCCTCATGAAGATTAGTGGTTTGCTCCCCTAACTGCTGAGTTATGAGACATAGTCATCTTGGACAGTTGGAGTTTTCCTCTGGAGAACAAAAAGGCTAGCAGGTAATGGTCTACAAAACATTTAAGTACTGTATCTAACAAGGACTAAAATTACTGTCCTCACACCTCCATCTCATGTCAAATATGGCATCTCAAAATTTAGCAATTAGGTATATAATCTAGTGTTAGAATATAATACTAACAAAAAGGTTCATGATTGTTTTTAAATCATGGCATTTCAGGGCCCTCCCTGGTGGTGCAATGGGTTAGCACTGCAAGCTAACCACAGCCGCTTCAGAGCTAGTTCGAGTTCGATCCCCAGCCCCAGAGGTGATCCACATGGCATGGCAGACCTCTCCGGACCCACCCACTGTGTACTCCCCCCTCAGCAGTGTACTTCTTCGAGCTGCCTGTTCTGCTCCCCACCCCACTCTGTCTCTGGTGAAGGCTCTCACTGCCCCTGCACCTCTGGCTTGTACTCCAGTTCTGTATGTGTAAATAAAATCTTAAAAAAAAAAACAAAACAAAACAAAAACCTTGGCATTTCAGGAAATAATAAAGTATCAGTATCTGTCAGTTCAATGAACTGTTAGTAATCATGCCTTCTTAAAAATAATTTGAAATGTCATGCCTAAAAACAAAGTTTCAAACCCAGTTTCCAGAAACTTACAATTTCTAGAAGTCTTATCAACCAGGTGTTGTTATAGCCAAGTGATGACTTAAATCAACTTCACCCTAAGAAAAATACTTAACACATTATATGAAAATGATTGATTATAATACTATAAATGTAAATTTACCTGCTTTGGATTTGATTTCCTGTGAATTTTATGTATTTTGTTTTTTCCATCAGTTTGGTGATTAGTGTATCTATGATCACTTTCTGATTCTGAAAAGCTTCTTCTATAAATTGGTATCTAAAAACAATAAATAACCCAATTATTTCACACAAATGTATTGTCTAAAATGAGGAAGAACTGCAAAGAAATATAGAAACATTTCTAAGGTTATAAAAATATAAACATAATGATCTTTCTAGAATGGTAAATATATTCCTAGAAGGCAGATTTTTACCACCTCCCCAAATTATCCCTTAAGAAAAAATGTGTTAATAAGAATATTTTAGTACTCATGGGCATGCTTAAAATTATTTTGAAAATTTGGGAATGACTCATTTGGCAGACACCTCACAAAAAGTACTCAGATATTTAAGCTGATTTATTAGCTACTCTGCAATTTTAAATTATAGACATGTGATGGTGTAAATAAACATTGTAATGATCACTTTTAGAAAGTGAGCGGTTGTGCTGCAGAACTGTGCAGATTTGTAACACAAATCCATGCCTTTAGGAGACACGGGGCAGTGTGGTGTGAGGTGCCACAGTCCTGATGTTAGAGAGCTATGAGTCTGACAGCTTCAAGTAAACAGAATCAATAAAGTACAACATAAAGACAATGTAAGATGACTCAAGAGGAGTCTGGAGAAACAGTGAAGTAAAAGATGCATATTATTAAATGTTTTCCATAAATTATACAAAATACACTATTTCTAAAATAATGTTTTATACATGATCTTCAATGTTCAAGTATAATTAAGTCAATATAAATAAGGTCACAGGGCTAGAAAAAGATTGGGAACATGCAGTTAGTTGTATTTGGATTTACTTTGTACATACATAATTCTATCATTTGTAAACAATGACATTCAAAATCCTGGTAGCTCAAGTTTTAAATCTCGGTCGCTATCGCCTTAATACATGTTCTGGGACCCTAACTACAATGCAGTGTTAAGTGAAATCATCAAAATAATCACCTTTACCTGTGGGTCCTAAAACTCAATGTAAAAATTTACCAGTATTCCACTATGAGATTGTATTTAGTTTTGGTTTACTGTAACATTGTATAGTAACAGTATTTTTCACGTGTGGTTTTCTAGTTCTTTCACAGATAATATTTATCAGGTTTAGTAAGTTTCCTTTTATTTCTAGTTTGCTGAAATTTTCCATTATGGGTACATATTTTTAACTGAATGCTTCTCCTGCCTCTATTGAGATGGGCATATAATTTTTCCTTCATTCCTTCCTTTAACATGATGCAGTTTCATGAATGACTTTCAAAGGTTAAACAAACTCTGTATTCCCAAAATAAGGCCAATCTGGTTGTGATAATGCTGTCCAAAAATCACAATAATGCGGGATTTAGTTTCCAAATTTCTTAGAAATTTGTTTATTTCATAAATGAGATTAGCCTGCTATTTTCTATTTTTATCCCTTCTCAGTTTCTGGTGCCATGGTTGCACTGGCTTCATAAAACTATTTGGAGTATTTTTATTTTTTGCCCACCATTCACTGGATAAATTGGTAAAAAATGTTAATAGTGTTATTTTTCACCTTATCTAGTAGAATCTGCAGTGTTTGTTTTGAGGGGGTTTTCTGGGTGGGAAAGTTATAAATTATGGGTTTACATTAATTAAGAAGCTATTCTAATTTTCTAAATTACCTTTTTGTAGTTTTGTTAGATGGTATTTTAAAGAAGTATCTTGAGAAAACATGATAGTATCCCTTTACAGTCTCTGCACTGGTTATGTGGGCCTGTTCCCTCCTTACTCACTTATGAAAAGATTTACTGAATTTATTCTTCTTTTGAAAGTTCCAATTTTTGACTATTAATTTCTACATTTTTCTTTAATATGACTTTTCCTTGCTTCCTTTGGGTTTATTTTGCTGCTTTTCTTGATGAAATAAATGGCTAGCACATTCACTTGTTATCCTTATTATCTAATGATGTAAATTTCTCCTAATCATGGCTTTAGCAATATATTTTAAGGCTTGATCTATAGTATGTTCACTATTATCCAGATAAAAATAGTTTCTAAGATCTACTGGATGCTCATCTTTGTCACTTAACTTAAATTTACTCATATCTTATTTGTTATTTTGAAGTAACATCAAAATTAAATTTGCAAGAATATACAGATCTTGTATATTCTTTAATACAGCATTATCAGTTTTTCAAATACTGCCTCATCAGGAGTCCCTTAACTACTTAATAATTAGTATACATGTCATAAAACAGGAATATTTTATATATAGCTATAGTATAATGACTAAACAATAGGAAGACTGATATTGGCATAACACTTTCATCTAATTTACAGACCAAATGGTATGTTTCAGCTAACATACAGACTACATCCCTAATTGTCATTTGTCTGATTAACCCTAACTTAATTTTACCACTTACAGTCCAGGATATAATTGAAGATCTTGTATCAGTGCATTTGGTTTCACATAAATTGCATCTGTTCATTTTCAAATGTATGGATATTTTTTCATCTATTGTTGTTTTGCAGATTATTTGCATTAGGTTTACAGAAGACTTTATATGATCTCAATCCTATAACAAGTAAGACTTTGCCCTAAGAATGACAAACTTTTTTCATTCAAAGAGAATTTCTACTGTTGAAAGAAATGTATATTTGCAGCAACAATATGGTATTAATTAAATACAACTTTGTATACTGAAAAAGGTTTGAGTTAAGCTTTATTAATCCATGTAAAGACTGTTTAGTATCTAGTTCATTTTTGCTATACTAGTGGAGACTTTCAGGGTTCCAACTCAAAGCAAGAGGTCTTCAACCACTGTAACCCCTGAATTCCAATCCTTATTTTCCCAGTCTGAAAGCCTGTAAAAGGTACTCGAATCTCTAGACAGATGTGTTGGAGGAGCAGAGGAGTCCCTACCAGTCTCTGTCCCCACCCCTCCAACTAAGTCCTGATCCCACAATTCATCTAGATCCAAAATTTCGCATCAATAACTAGGTTTTCTAGTTATCCACTGGTATGCTTGGTCCAAATTACCTAGTCTGCCTTTAACGAAAGCCTATAGTACTTAAGATACTCTATTTTTACCAAGTGACCAGAACCTGACCATTTAAATCAGTCAATGCTAACTGAAAAACCTATGGAGGTGAGATTTAAAAGTAAACTGCAAGAATTATGAACTGGAAAAATGTTTCAAACACAAGCGTTATTCTAAAGACTAAGTTCTAGCCAAAAACTGAAAAGAAAGAATACAGGACCCATTTTCTATAAAAAAGCAAAAACAAACAAACAAAAAAAAAACCTTAAAGATTTAGATTTTAGTGTAAAATCTCCTCATTTTACAATACTAGCAATTCTATATATTTTAAAAGAGTGTACAGGCCAGTGATTTTCAATTCAGTGATTCTATTCCCTAGGGCATTTGGCAATGCCCATACATTTTTGGGAGACAGGCTGGAAGAATGCCAATAGAGGTGAAAATACCGCTAGATAGGATACATTACATGTACTACAAAGACTGATCTGGCACAAAATGTCAGTTGTGTGAATGTTGAAACCCTGTAATAAGCTGGCACACTGCTGTCTGAACATAACGGATTTGTAGACTACCATTTGGCTGGAGTGCCAAAAACCCTCATGCTAATTGATGTACACAAAGAAAAATGTTGGTACCTATGTTCTTTATGTTCTAATAACTGGCAGTCCCGACAAGTCAGTTTGTCACATGTTTCACAGTAAAGCTTCAGTTGCTCCTTTTTATGAAAAGGACAAAACACTGGTCGCTGACTGGTCACACCAACTGCTTCTATTAGAAACAAAAGGAGGTATAACATAAGAATATTAACAGTAAATAATTATTAGACTGTCCATATTCAAGAAACATGTTGACATAAAGAAGCAACAGTTTCACTGACACCACCGCTACCACTTGGTTTTACTAATACCAAAATACTAAATATTTTCAGCAATTCAGAAGGAAAAATAAACTTTTTGCTTTTCAAAGCAGAAATCTGAATAAGGATTGCTCTACATAGAAAAAACTTTCATGAAATCATCAATATTTACAAAAACCTTAAATGTGTGCCAGCAAAAAGGATAAATTAGTGAGGTAATGTTTTCCTGCACGATAAAAAAAATACAGCTGAAACCAAAAACGAAGACACAAAGTTTTCCTCTTTAATAAATTCTTGGGTTCACAATAATCACACAGAACTTGCTTTTGGCAAGTAATACACAGTATGGTCCTCTGTCCACATCACTATGTTTACGAAAGTAACACACACAAAAGTACAGAACTCCCTGTAGGGTAACCAAAATTTTAAAACCAGCAGAATCAAACTAACAAATGACAATTAAAGTTTTATTTTAAAGACTTAGAATTCTTCAAACACTTGTTTGAACACTTAAGAAAAATGAAGAAAAATAGCAAGTATTTATCTAAAAGCTGTCTGTAGTAGAACTTTAAAATAAAACTAAGTTGAAAGGAACTAAACTAGTATTATTGAAGATATGTAAAGTTTAATTAGATAAATACAAGAGCTATTTGAGGATAAAATCAAAAACATTAAAAAAAAAGTAGAAGTACATAAAATTTATATTGAAAGAGGCAAATAAATTAAAAAATAGCAATATAGTAAAAGATTAGGAGAAGTCTAACATACCAAGATGAAAAGGAATTAACTGTAGGAATAAAGAGATTCTTCATTATCAATGATAGTGAAGCAAGGGTGGAGAGGGCCAGAAAAGGGCAGCAGAGCAGGAGGCAGGGTGGAAGGATGGAACGGCCACCATCTGCCTGGGCTCTGAGACCAGAGAGTCACCCAAAGGCCCCAAAAAGCCAAAACCAAACCAAAGGATCGAGCCTGGTTAAGAGGCTGGTCGTGGTCAGTGGGTCCCACCACAGAACTGCAACAAGCCTCAGGCTCCGGGATCAACCGCCAGGGAGACAGAGCTCACGCAGCCACGAGTGGCACTTTCTCTCCCGGACAGCATCAGTGATGGTCGCCACCGGCATCAGGAGTGCTGGACAGCAGTGGCCAGTAGGCATGGTCACTGCTGGTCCCTCAGAGGCGGGTCAGAGACCCCCAGTGTTAACAGCTCCTTGGGACTCCAGGCCCGGGGCCCTGGGTGCCCCTTTCTGGTGGAGGAGGCCCAGGCTCCAACAGAGTCCTTCGGCTCCTCTCCCTCCTGGGCGGGCATCTGCTGGACACTTCTTTCTTCTTTCTTCTTTAGAGGCCAGGAACGAAGCTTTCGCCCCTTCTTTCTTCTCTGGAGCTGGTGTCACCTCTACTCAGGGGCCCTCTTCTCTTTTCTTGGGGGCTCTTCCTTTCTCTTTGGGGGTTCTGCCTTAGCTCCCTCCAACCCGCAAGTCTGACTGGACCATTTAGCAACAGTCAGCTCAGCTCCAAGCACACACCTAACTGGTCCATTACTGAGCGGTGGTTACTGAGCTGAGGAACAAATGCCACAACTGACCCCTGTGGAGCAGCAGTCTGAAAGAATCACTGCTCCTGTAGGCTCCTACTGCTAAGGCGGCTGGGACCTGATAACAGTGGGAATAGATTCCTAACCTCCATACCTGTCTCTGATGTTTCAGTACATGGACAGCTATGGGAGGTGGGCACCATATGCCCACTGCATGGCTTAGAACATCCTAGTCTATGCCGAGAACTCTCAGGAATACAAGTTTACATAGCCTCTTGTCGAACTTGGATAATTAAGACATGTCATTCATTTACAGATGTCCTTCAGCTAGACTAATAAAGAACAGAGAAAACACTAATAAATAAAACTAGAATGAGGAGAAACTACACAAAATACCATAGCTAGCACAGGAACACAAGGATATAAGAAATCACAATTATGAGCTCTATGCCAATAAATAAACTCAATAGCATTGGAGAAATGAACATTCTGTTATTTCTAGAATAATATAGTTTGTTAAGACTAAACCAGGAAGAAACTAAACAGGTGACTAAACCAATCATAATCATGGAACGAAAGTAATCAAATCTTTCCTCAGAACAAAAGCTTAGGTCCAGGTAACTGTACAAGAAATCTCTATTAAGCCTTTAAAAAGGAATTTATGCCTCGGCCCTTCCTGGTGGCGCAGCAGGTTAAAGCACAACACTAAAAAGCCAAAGCCACTTCCGCATGAGTTCGATTCCCGCCTGCCCCGCCACAGGGCGTGGCAGACCTCTCCTGACCCATCCGCTACTCCCCTCAGCAGTGTACTTCGTCAGTTGGCCTGTTCTGCTCCCCACTCTGTCTCTGGTGAGTCCTCTCACCGCCGGCCTGTACCCCAGTTCCGTATGTATAAATAAATCTTTAAAGAAAAAAAAAGCAGACATGAACCATCAAGATCACTTTAAATTAAAAATATTTTATAGATTAATCCCACTTGATGGAAGAAAATATTCAATTTACAACCAACAAGGTATTACTATCCAAGATATTAAAAAAAAAACCCTTATTTAATTTAATAACAACAAAAACTAATCAACCCAATTAATAAATTTTGGAGATCTGAACAGGTAGTTCACCAAAGAGGATATCCAGAAAGCCAACTGTGTCATAGTTACCATCACTTTTAATAAAGGATAAACCTTATTATCAGAGTCCTCCCTGGTGGTGCAAGGAGTGAAGTCAGCACTATGAACTTATCAGCAACTACTGCAGCGCAGGTTCCAGCCACAAGCCTGAGCTACCCACATGGTGCAGCAGACCTCTCCTGTCTCACCCGCTGCTCCCCCTCAGCAGTACATTTCAGTCAATCTGCCTGTTCTGCATCCCAGTCTCTGGTAATCCTCTCACCCTCCCCTCTGCACCTCTGGCCTATAATCCAGTTCTTATATAGGCATAAATAAAATATTTTTTTGAATGAATGAAAGAAAGAAAGAAAGAAAGAAAGAAAGAAAGAAAGAAAGAAAGAAAGAAAGAAAGAAAGAAAGAAAGAAAGAAAGAAAGAAAGAAA